AGAATGAAATTGTGCCATTTGCAAAAGGAAAAAATAGATGCAACTGGAGATAACCACCTCGAGTAAAACAAAGAAGACTCAGAAACACAAATATCAAATGTTTTCTCTCACACAGAAGAAAAAAGTTCCATGAAATTAGGAGGAATATTCAGCAGGAAGAGAAAATACGAGGAATTGTGGGGAAAATACAAGTAAAGTATTTGCATATATGTATGAAAAGGTTATAATGAGCTCATAATTTTGCACAATTAATATATACTAAAAATAAATTATTATTTTTAAATGGAACTGAGAATGCCCAAAAGCATGCCTTCCATCATCTTTCTGCCCCTGAAATGAGCAAACTCAGGAATGTGCCCAACCCTAAAGTTCCTACCTCTATAAAAATGTATATCACAAATAAAATTTCCAACCCTCCTTTGTTCAGGAAAGCATTGCATTCAAAATGTTTCTAGTGTCTCCATACCCTTTGTAGCCGCTGCGTCTTTCTAAACTGTTTCGCCTTCTGGTTGGTGCGTTTTTGGTTTTGTACTCACAGAGATGTGAACCCATTTTGTTTAGTTGCATACCATTTTCTAGCACCAGTTCTTACCAGATGTGGTAAGATTCTCAAATCTTCTCTGTCTCGTTTCATTCACTGAAGACTTGCTCAGTGTTCCTTCCCTCTCTGCTTTCTACTATTCATAAGAATGGCTGTGACATTAGGTTTGAATTTCCAAGGCCAAAGTCCTTTCCTCAGATGCCTATTTCCAAGACCAGACAGGGATGTGCTACATTTCTGCAACCGAAGTCGGTGGTGGACTCTTGACCTTTGGCCTTTGGGAATTACTTCTTCCTACAGAGCCATCCTCCATGAGGCTCCACACCCCTCCCCCCCAACTTAACATTCCTTTCTTGCACTGAACAGCCCCTTCTTCCTCTATTGATTTCGAATCCTGAGACTCTCCAGCTCATCTTCCCTCGTCAGACTCTTTCATGTTTTTCTCCACTGTCCTATTGTGGTCCCAGCCATTGCAGGATGCCTTTGTGAATCCAAAGCCTGTGTGCTAAGCACTTTGGAAAGCAGCTCAGGCTGTTAGCGGTGGCCTCCATCGCTAATTGGAGGCTTTGCTCACAGGTGGGTGGGTAAGGCTCTCATCTCTTCCTTTCTCTCTCCTTTCCTGTCAGCTACTTATTTCAAACCTTCCTTCTCCTCCACTTTTTCTTCAGTCTTCCCTTCCTACTTTTCCTATTGCCTTAGAACAAGTGGTGGCATACACAAAAATAATTTTTTTCCAGTAACTACACACTATCAAACTCACATTGATGTATCTCCAGCTACTCTCCCCCACCTCCCCATACAGTCAAGGTGTCCTTTCCAGGGTGTCTTTATTAGGAGTTAGTGTTACCTCCTTTCATTTATTTCTCTTGATTTTGTTCCCTCTGCATTTGTATTTAAATACAAGTAAAACTCCCCCGTTTAAAACAGCTTAGCTCTTGTTTGGGCAATGCGCTGAGCCCTCGTCTTTGTAAGATGTTTTGAATATTTGCTGCATGTTGTTCACTGTTGGCTCCCGTCTGCATCCTCCCGGTGCTGCTGCCTCCCACTGCACCATGCGGAAGTGTCATTGCACGCTCACCACCGACTACTCTGGAATCACTTCCAGAAGCTTTTGATAGCATTTATCATATTTCCGAAAAATACCGTTTGTCTTGGTTTTCATTATTCTATAGTCTATTTATTTATTTATTTATTTATTTATTTATTTAATCTCTGGTCACTTTATCTGAGTTCTATTTCTAAGGTTCCCTGTCTGTCCAGCTTTTTAACTATTGATGTTTTGTATTTGTGTGTGTGTATATAATATATATATATATATACTTCCATTTGCTTTTGTTCGAACTCTTGCATTGGAGCTCAGGGATTTGAACTCATCTTTGTATTAGTCTCAAATCTATAGTCTCACTTCTGTAGTTCTTTTTTGAACTCGGAACAGTACACACAAATCTTCTACTGGGGATATAGATACTCCCATGTCCTAAAGCGCTCTCACGGTCACGTGCCCTGCACTTGATTCCTCACTTTCTCTTTAAAGCCTATTTACTCCCGTCTTTTCTCTATGGAATGAGAATGATGCTGCCATCCACCAGGTATCAGAAGCATTCCGAGATTTTCAGCCTACCTCTTCCTGTTAAACATCTGTGTCGTACAGAAACATCTTTTGAGAATCTCTGATTCTGTCCGCTCTGCTCCGTTCTCCACCTCCGTCATGTTCCAGCTCCAGTTCCACCCTGGTCTCACACCGAATTCTTGAAATAGTCTCCTCACAGGCAGCCCTTGTAGGGTACTGTCCTCCTGCCCCTCTGCTGCCTAACAGCTAGGGTGTCCTAAAATGCACATGTGATCTGGTCTTGTTTGTTCCTTCTCCTCCCTCCTTGCTTCCTTTCTTTCTTCCTCATCCTGCTCTTCTCTCTCCTTCTTCCCTCTTTGTGGCAGGCACTTAAATATGAAGCCTGCAGTTTGTGGTGCTGTTTGGAGAAGTGTAGAAGAAGAAGGTCACAGAAGTCAGGCTTTTAGAGTTTAAAGACTCATACCATTTCCAGTTTACTTTCTCAGCTTCCTCCTCTAGCTGCTAAGCCTCTGCGCTGCCATTTTGAACTCTTATCCCTCTTGAACTTAAAGCCAAATAAAGTTATTTTTAAAGTTGCTTTGGTCATGGTATTTCATCATAACAATAGGAAAGTAATTAATATACTCCTCCTTTCTACTTACTCCCTCCTTTCCTCTCTTCTCCCCTCATCTCTTATTTTTCTTTTCTCCGTTCCTTCTCTTCTCCCCTACCTTCTTCCTTTCCTCTTTTTCCTCTTGTTTTTCTCTTCCACTTCCTCCTCTTCTTCCTTTCCCCTTTTTTTCCCTTTAGTTTTTCTTTTATTTTAAGGACACTTAGAGGAAATATTTAAAGTAATATACATATTAGTTTATATGTATTATAAATTAGCCATTTAATAGTGTTTCAGTGCAGAGTTTGTTAGGATTAAATCTCTTGAATGGCTGTGTAACCACCACCGCCGTGATCCATTTGCAAGGCCTTTTTTTTTTTTTTTTTTGTTTTTCTTCATCTTGTAAGAGTGAAATTTTGTACACAACAAACAAAAATGTTTTATTCTCAGCCACTGGCACTCACCATTCTACTTTCTGTCTATATAAATTTCCCTGCTCCCTGAGCTCCATGTGGTTTGGAATGACACGGTGTCTGCCCTTTTGTGAGGAGTACTTTTTGTCAGCAGAATGTCGTCACAGCTCATTTGTATTGTAGTATGTGTTGTAGTATTTCATTTCATCTCGTCCTCCATTTATACACATGTGGGTTGCTTTTGCTTTGCTATGGAGAGTCCTCACATGTGCACACATATTTGCTTGTGTCCGAACTGCTCATTATTTGATGTATATATTCAGAAGTAGAATGTTTGGGTCACATGGTGATTCTCCTTTTTTTGAGTTACCATCAAGCATTTTTTTTTTTTCTTAGTAGGTATACCAGTTCACACAGCCCTGTAGTGCGAAGGGTTTGGTTTCTCTGTGTTCTTGCTAGTACTTGTTAATATTCTGAGTATAACTCTCTTACCTAGTATATTGCCATTTACTCTTCTGATGGTTTTTTTGTTGCACAGAGTATTTACACTTGGGTAGAGGTGAGTTTGTCTGTCTACTTTTGTTATTTTGGGCACCAGCTCTAATAAGTCATGGCAAAATGTAGAGCCAGTGAAATAGCTCAATGGGTAAGGGCATTTGCTGTCAAATCTCAGGGCCTGAGTGTGATCCTTGGAACACGCATGGTGGAAACCAAGCAGGATTACTTCCACAGGTTGTCCTCTGACCTCTATGCACCTCCTCAGGAAAACAAACACATAGAAACAAAAGAAAATGAAATGCCACAGAGCCTCACCTCTGTTTCATTAAAGATTTTCAAAGTTTTAGCTCTTACATTTGGGCAATCCACGTGAGTTAATTTTTATATGTGACCCTAATTGTCTACTCCATGTCTGTGTGTGTGGATATCTAGTTTTCTCAGCCTCATTTGTTGAAAAGACATTGCCCTCATTACTGTAGCTTTGTACTAAAATTTAAAATCAGAAATACGAGGCTTCCAAATATGTCCACTTTAAAAAAGAAACATTGCTTTGGCCATTTGAGATCCCGTAAGATGACACACGAATTTTAGGTTAGGAGCCTGCCATTTCTCAAGAGAAAACTTCGCCGCCGGGTATGGTGCCCTAAGTCTGTAATTCCAGCATTTGGCGGTCTGCCACAGAAAGACTGAGTCTGTGGCCAGCCTAAACTCCTCACCACATTTTATCAGGTCTTTAAAATAGAGCTCTCATTTATCTTTTCACTTTCATCGCCGGCCTCTAATTCTCTTTACCCCGTTCCTCAACGTGTTGGAATCCCCACCCCCACCCCCCACCTTCTAATAGCCATGCAACTGGCTCAGGATTTTCCATATGATCTCTCTGCCTGGGTCATTTCTCGTATGGCCTTGTCTCCCCCTCCTTCACACTTCAGCTTTCACATCCCTTCCAACAGCTAAGAGAAGAAAGTAGAGCTGTGACTCACAACACTGCTTTGCTAATCGCGAACGCTTGCTGGCCGCTCTCCGAAGCCCGTGCCCGAGGTTTTGTCCAGCACAGCATCATTCATTCATCTAGTCAGCCACAAGTGGATTGAAATGAATCTCCACAGGCTCATTTTCTAGTGTGTTGGAGGAGTCAGCAGAACTGAACGCCGAGGCACCTGGATAATGAGCCCGTTTACAGGCTTCAGTCTTGAGTGCTTCTTACTACTCTATTGGCCTACATTAGCAATGAAATCTGCATAAACAGCTAAATGAAGGCTTAAGGCAGAGGACCACGCCTACTCACACCGGCCGAAAGGGGCAGAAGTCTGAAAACTCAGTTACCAAAGGGTCTTCTTGCTCACAGCTGCCTGCCACCACTCGCAGAGAGACTAGACACCACCTAGGTCCCAGAAAGCCACCCTACTGGACCGCCCAGAAAGTTCTGGACGGGATCAGGCAGCTACAAATGACCGGAAGTGGAACTTGCCCGCTTGTTGCTTAGCAACGAATGAGGAAGGGACGCTAGAGCTCCCAGCTCAGAGAGGGCCGACACTGAGTTAGCTGTCCAGCCGCAGCAGGCACCTCTCGGCCCCGGATCCGGGGTCCTGCCGCAGCGATCCAGGCCGGCCCTGCGTGGCCGCAGGTCCTCGCACCCATGAGCCGCGAGCAGGTGAGAGCGGGGCGCCGGGGTCGCGGGTCCCCCCAGGAGCAGCGGAGACTGCGCGCTCTCTCGGGGACCCTCGGCTCCCCCTCCACCCCGAGGGCTGAGGGTCTCTCTCCTGCTCCCCTCCCAATCGCCGGACCTCGCTGTCGTCCTGAGAACGGAACACAGCCCTCGGAAGGGGGCACAGCTGCGGAAACTGGCTCCACAGCGACCCCTGCTGCTCTGATGGAGTTTGGGTGGCGGGAGGCTGGGCGGGATGTCCCTGTGGACGTGCTCTACTTAGCTGGGTGATTTTCAGCAAATCGATCATTTCCTTCCGGAGGAAACTGAGACCAGCTGTTTGCCACACCCCTCCCGCCTCAGGCTGGCCTGGGGTTCACTATTTGGGCCAGAGTGGCCTTGAACTTGCTGCAAAACCACCCTCCTCACACAGCGCTGGGACCACAGGCCACCGTGGTAATGAAAGTTGGATGCTACAATAGCTACACCGTAAAAATGAAAATCAGTCTTTGCCGAACTTAAGAGTAACTGTAGCAAAGAGTCGTGGTCAATGGTTTTGATGCCAGCGCAACCCAAATTAAAAAAAAAAAAAAGTTGATTTTTCAATCTGAAAATTTTACTCAGCTTTTTCATCGATTCACGCTGGTTTCTTTGGTAAGTTGAGTTTGTTGTGAAAATGGCTTTAAAAGGAGACTTGAGGGTTGAAGCGATGGCTCCGTGCTTAAGAGCTTGATGTGAGGCCATGAAGCAACATAAACTCAATCTCCATCACCCAGTTCAAGGCCCATGTGACTGAGCTTGCCTGTAACCCCAGCTCTGTGAGGGACAGAGACAGGTTTGCGGGGACTTCCTGTCCATTGGCTTGGTTTCTGGTTCAGTGAGAGACCCTGTCTCAAAACAGGAAGCCAGCAAGTGATTTACTGGCCCCTGTGCATAGGCAGGAGCACTCCCATACAAAATATGGACACACCCCACCCCCACAGGAGTGGGGTGGGGCGAGGGTGGATTTAAACCCTTATCGTGATAGTCAGGTTTGTTGCTGTGACAAAGAAGAGCAACACGACTCAAGGGAGGAAATATTTCTTTTGGCTTATGTTTTTAGAGGTCATGGGCTCTGGGTGTTTCTGACTGCTGTACAAAGCAGGGCATCGTGAGGGAGGGAATGGTAGAGTGGAGCTGCTTACCGCATGGCAGCCAGAAGGCAGGGGAAGAGGCTAGAGAAAGGTCGACATGTTGAAGGCATACTCCGAATAACCCACATCCTTCAACCAAGCACTACCCTTAACAGCCCATTCTGCCATAAACTTAATTTGTTGAAGAAAAGAGCATCCCCATGGGTCAGTAACTTCTCAAGAGCATCACCAGCCGGTGCCGCCCCTCAACACACGAGCTTTTTGGAAAGAAGTGTCATATCTACACTGTAACAGCTGTAGTTATAGATTATATATTAGTGCCAGAAAATGTCAAGTCTAACTCGCCAAGAAACATGGAGCATGCCTGTAATCCCAGTACTTGGGGAGGCAGAGTCAGGCAGATCTCTGTGTGTTCGAGGCCACCCTGGTATACAAAGTGAGTCCAGGACAGCCAAGGCTACACAGAGAAACTCTGTCTTGAAAACACAAAACAACAATAACACACAAAAATCCCAAATAAATAATAGTTATCAAAATGCTCAAGAAATTTTTATTTCAGTGTTTTTTGAAATACATGTAATAGAGAACTAAGAAACCGGTGCTTTGAGTCATGCATGTATCAAAGTATAATTAGCAACAAGCAGTGTAAGAAGAAACAAGCAAAGAAACTCCCAGATACATGTAACTTCAGATACATGTAACAAAAAAGGAAAACCACCACAACAAACAGACACCTAGGCGAACACTAGACCTTGCTGTGTGATTCTTAACAAAATCAGTAATTGTTGCCAACTATAATCAAGCAGCTCATTTGCTTGATGACTAAGTAAATGTTTGGCCTGATCTTAGAACCATAGTCTCTACTGTCAAAATCTAAAGGACTTCCATTATTAAGTGTGCAGGGGTTTTCCTGGAAAGCTGTTTTTCTTAATTCCTCCCACCTGTCCAGCTAGACCTAAGAAGCAGCCACTGAATCATTACCGGAAGTCAAATTTGCTTCACCTTTATAGAGCGATCCTGGGAACCAGCGCCCCTCACCGCCCAATGACATCCAGAAGGGTTATGTTTCACTGAAGAAACCTTGCAGTCACCAAGAAGGGGCATTATTAACCCATGTGGGGCTCTTGCCGCCGGCTACACACGGTCTTCAGCAGTAGAGGGCTCTCTCCGACTGTTTTGGTTGATTTTGCAATTTTAAAACTCATCTTGATGCTTTCTTCTATGCTAATTTGAAGTACAGTTTTCCTTTTGAAAAGATGAAAGTTTTATACTTTAATCTAAAACAAACAGAATGGATTAAATTTTTGGAAGTTCCATTTTAACATGACATTTACTTACGTATTCATCCCATTTGAAGAAGTGAGCAGGTGGCAGAAACGTATTTACTGAGGAGGTTTTAACATATTCATCTCATTAGTGGAAGGTTGAGAGGGACATGGCATTTTTCAGAGGTAGCTGTCTGGGTTTTTCTCTTAAGTTCGGTATTTAAAGAAAAATAAAAGTAGTTTGTAGTTACTCATTTTATTTTTAAAGCTGTGAAAAAAAAACTTTACACACTTAAAGATTTGACTGAAGAAGTTTCTGGAGTTTGAAAGTGTCGCTGCTCAGTGGTGAGGAAGGGGCTTCACAAGCTCACTGTCACTTGTGGTCAGGAGAGGGAGGAAACCGTGGCAGCCTCGCTGCGTTCAGTACTCTTCAGAGTCACAGAATTAGGTGACTGTCAGTCGTCAGCCATTCTGCCATGCTCGTCCTCATTTCCATCTTCTTTTAAAAGTTATTATTATTATTTGTTTTTCTTTTGAGACAAGGTTTCTTTGTATAGTCCTGGCTATCCTGGAACTTACTCTGTAGACAAGGCTGACCTTGAACTCAGAGATCCACCGGCCTCTGCCTCCTGAGTGCTTGGGTTAAAGGTATGTGCCACCACTACCCAGCTTTAAAAAAAATGTTGTATATATATGAGAGTTTTCCTGTGTGTGTGTGTGTGTGTGTGTGTGTGTGTGTGTGTGTGTGTGTGAAGGTGGTCTTAGAACCCCTGGAATTAGATTCATAGAATGATGTGAGCTGCCATGTGGGTGCTGGGAACTGAGCTCAGCCCCTCTCAGCAAAAACAACAAGCTCTCCTAACCACTGAGCCATAAATGAAACCATAAACTGTTTACTGTGAGACCAATACCACGGTGACAACTCCATCAGCCATAACGAAAATATGTGATACTCACATTTGAACTAATCTGTTAAATTTAATTTTTGAAATAAGTACTTGCTATGTAGTTGAGACTGACTTTGAACTCATATAGTCCTCCTGTCTAAGCTCTCCATTGATGGAATGCAGGTGTATGATGTTATGTCCTACAGCACTATTGAATTTTGAGAGGTTATTGCCAACTTAGCAGAAAAGTTTTTGTCAGTCTAATAGAAGCCTCTGGGTGCCATAGCTCACACTTGGGTTATAGCACAGGCTTTACAATATCCCTTCTAAGAGAAGTGAGTAGATGAAAACAGACCAAACCAAACAAAACAAAAACACTGAAGAACTAGACTGTTCAGCAATTTCATTGTGGAATATAAATTTATATTAGGAGTTTGTACAAAAACAGATGGTATGCTTTAAAAAGTAATTAAAGAATATTTGGAAAGAGCTTTTCCAGAGATCTGGGTAGGGTTCAGGAAACACGAGAGTGTGAGACAAGCTTTACTGTAGGCTCAGATTTCCACAAAACCTACTTTATTTAGGGTTCTTATGCACCTTTATCCCCCTTCCAACCCCCTCAACCTTAGGTAGGAGATTAGTAGGGAAAAGAGCTGTAGTCCTCTTTTGTCTACTTCCTGCTGATCAGGGTTGATGGTTGTTAGGGACTTACCAGACTCAGTTGTCAGGATAGCAGCAGTCCAGTCCAAAGGCCAAGACGGAGTAGCAACACAAAGCCAGCGAAAGCTGAAAGACTCAGTTGGATTGTCTGGAGAAGCTCTCTGGAACATTTCTCTCTGCAAGGTCGTGTCAAAATGCAAAGATCAGTGCAGCGATGTCGGTCCAAAGAAAGCAAAGTCTCACTGTGTGTGATCCTCTGTATGTCTGCTCTCCTCAAAGTCTACCCACAGATGTTCTCAGCTGGCCAAAGTCACGCCCCTCGAATAAGAGACCAAATATCACACGCCTTCTCACAAGCCAACCTGGGCAAAACATCACGTTCCCAGCTTGCAGCAAAATATCACATGACCAAACTGAGCCCACTTTACTTTGCTTTAGAATAGACGTTGAAAAATGTGGCTGAGTGAATCAAATTTAGCATTAATGACTAATCAGTCAGCATACTTCCATGGCCACACTCAGCTGAAGGCCAGTTAGCTTTGGGAGAGTCAGAGACACAATAGTTGTCACAGGAGCCGCACTCTGGGACCGGTTAGTCCTGAAGAAGCACAGTACTTGGACATAAATATCCCAGCTCCCTTTCTCCTGGTGCTCAGCGTGTTGGGCTGCCTCTTATTGGTTAATCCTGACCAGAAAGAAGTTCAAGTACTAGCTGCTCTGATTATGCCCATGCATAGACTCTATCTTCTCCATCACAGAGCAGGAAAAAGGTAAAAACAGCCTGAGGCAAACAACATAACTATCACAGCAATTACTAAACATACGCAGAAACCATTGTAAGCAAACAGTTTTTCTGTCCACAAGTTATTTGGGGGCCCAGGGCTCTGGCTCACTGATACAATGCTTGCTTAGCACTCATGAGGCCCCTAATTCAAATTTCAAATTCTTTTTTAATGATATGTTACAATGTGGTTAAAACATCCTACACTTTTTTTTTTTTGGCCAAAACTACTTTTTCCTGAGCACACAATGGAGTCCAAAGGATAACTTGCAGAAGTCTGTTCTTTCCTCTTTCCTTTCATTGTGTGTCCAAGGCTATTGAACTCAGGTCACCAGGCTCAGCAGCAGTCAACTTAACTAATTAATTCTGTCAACATGACACAAGTTAGAATCATTTAAATAAAAAAAAAAAAAAGAAAGAAAAGAAAAGAAAAGGAAACCTGAGTTGAGAAAATGCCTATATCAGATTGTGGCTTGTAGGTAAGTTTATGCGGCATTTTCTTGATCTGTGATTGATGCGAACGGGCCTGGCCCACTGTGGGCAGCTCCATACCTAGGCAGGTGGTCCTGGAGTATGTAAGAAGGCAGGTTGAGTTAGCCAGGAGAAGCAGACCAGTAAGTGGTGTTCCTCTATGGTCCCTGCTTCAGTTCCTGCCTTGGTTTCCCCTGGTTATGGAGTATAACCTGTAAGCCAAATAAACTTTTCCCATCCAAGTGGCTTTGGTCAGGGTGTTTTATTACAGCAGCAGAAACCCTCACCAAGACACCATCTTACCAGCCTTGAATTTTTTTCTTAATTTCAACTTTGGACTGTTTATTACTAGTGTCTGTAAGTGTGTGTGTGTGTGTGTGTGTGTGTATCTGTATGTATGTATTATTGTATTAGTTTTGTATCCTGCAACCTTGCTGAATGAACTAACTAGTTCTGATAATTTCTTGGTGTGTTATAAGATTTTTCTATATAAGATCATGCCATCAGTAAATCAAGTTTTACGATATTTTGGATAATATATGCTTGACTTTATAGTAAACAGTGTAAAATTTGCCTGAGTGAATTAGATTTATCAATGATGAGTAAGCAGATATTTTTTCCCTTTCTACACAGGATAAACTAACCAGCAAAGAAAAATCCAAGACACCAGTGAGATTCCGACCACAGTTGCCCGTGGTAATATATCATCATTCTTCATTCTATACTGATAGTGTTGCTTGGGTTGTCTGATTTCAGATTCTGTGTTCTAGTTGATTCTATCCTGATGGGAAAATTCTGTGTGGTGCATCTGTTAGGAAAAAACACTATCTTAATAAAGTCATGGCATTAGCAATTTCTAGCATGGATGGACTGTTTGAGAAATCTGAGTCAAAGAGTTCTTCCATGACCCCAAGGAGGGATGTTAGTGTTGGCGCCAGGAAACCAGAGCTCAGGTTACAGCTTTATGTCTGGCTTTGTGACCTCTGGGGAGTCATTTACCTCCCTGAACCTCCTTTGTAAGCTTAAAACTGAGAGGATTTGGTGACATCTGAGGGGTTGGCTCTTCCAGTGCCAAAGGCTGTACTACAAAGGATTTTGTAGATCTTGGCTTTTGTTCTCATTATTTTCACAATAAATTATCACTGCCTGTGGAAAAGGCAGCCAGCAGGCATTGTTAGCGCATGAAATGTTGGAAAAGTTAGATTCCTCTGCTGTGTAACTTACAATTCAATAATTATGTTGAATTTAATGCCATTTTACAGGTGTGGCCCAGCACAACCAATTCCCCCCCCCCCGCCTTGCTGCCCACCCCCATATTTTCTCTCAAGCTTGCTTGTTCTTTGGCTTCCAGTTCCTGGTGCCTGTCCTGATTTCAGGAAATGCATTGCTGTCCTTCTCTGTGGAGATCCAATTGTGCTTCAGGGTTTGGCTTCCATCAGTTTTTCTTTTGAAACTTTCCTTGGCTATTCTCCTCTATATTCTGTTCTGGATAGAAGCACATCACCTCTAATATGTGAAACAAGAGACAGGTCATTACTTATCTGTATAACAGGCATGAAGGTGGTACAGCAGTATTTATCTAAAAAATTTTAATAATACTAAATGGGCTATGTTACCTAAACTGCATGGAATATGCCAAATATAATGTAATCAACATGAAATATGATCTGACCAATTTGAGGATTTATAGGGAGATCATTTACATTCTGTATTTTGAATTATCTTCAGAAATCCAGCATACATTTTATTTGTAGATATTTTTCGGTCCAGAGCAGCCACATTTCAAGTGACTGGTAGCTACAAAGGATGAATGACAATTCTTGGGCAGTATGGGTGCAAAGCACAGGCTAGAAAATAGGTCTGAAGGAGAGAGCTCGAGAAACATGCCTGCAAGACCCATTGCTTCCACAGAGCCTGGACGCAGACCTCACTGTAGATGGTGGGACGGTGGCTCCACAGATGTGGAGGCATTTGCTGAAGTCGCGCAGGCCTGGAAGGAGGGGGGATGCTACCTGTTGGGATGCCGAAATCTCGAAAGGAGACCTCCGTCTCCCAGGCACTTAGTGAAACTTGTGCAAAGCCACCATGAGAATGCCAGCAGAATATGCTAGACAATATAAAATTTGTGTTAATGTTTTTTTCTTTCTTTCTTTTGCATATTTTATGCAGGAAAAACCAGCCGGCAAAGAAAAGGCCAAGCTGCCATCAAGAGTTTTACCACAGTTAACTTTGGTAATTTATCTACATGATTTCTAAAATGTTGCCATTTTTAAAGATTTATTGCATCCAAACTTAAACCAAATTAGCAGATTTCTGATTTTGTGCTCCAATTTGATTCTTCTCTGACAGAGAAATTCTCTAAGCTATATGTATCAGTAAATGTAGCTAGTAAGATCATTGTACTCATAGTTTCTTAGAGTGTACAGCATAGTCAGGGATAAATCCAAGCATTATCAAGGTAGATAAGCAGGAATGTCACTGTCAGGAAATAAAGGCTCAGAAAAGAACTCTATAACCTATGAGGACTCTTTTCCTTCTCAGAGTCTCAGATTCTGAAAATGGGGGGATTTGTTATCTCTGTGGAGATGGACCTTTCTGTGCAAAAAAGCCGTGCTACACACAATCTCATGGATCCTTGAATGGTCATTGTCCTACGGGAAAGACAGTAGGCATTTTAGTTAATGAAGCACAGGATCAGTTAACGTTTATTTCTCTTTCATAGCTATCTTGAATTCAGTACCATTGAATTACCTTCTTGTAGCCTCTGGGATTTAATAGATTTAAATAGAGTTTCAGTAAAAACAGTTTTTTTTTTCTTTTAAAATGAAATTATATAGATTTTTTTTTTCTGGCCACAATGCAATAAAACTGAAAAATCATAAGAAAATCTTAGCAAATGACACAAATCATGGGAATTAAACAAACTGCTTTTGAACACCAAACAGATGAAGGGAAAATCAGGTAGACAATTTAAAAATTAAATGAAATTGGGAAGATAATATTCTAAAACTGTGGGATACAGCACTGAGAAAGATTAAACAGCAGTCAGTGTCTCTGTCAAAGTAGAAGGATGACCACTATTAAACCCATCAGTGCACCTCAACAGCCAGAACTGTGAGAGCAAACTGAACCCCAAGGAGGTTAAGAAGGAATAGAGCATAACTAAATGGGATGGATACTGAAAAATCAGTTTAGAAAGATTTGAAAAACAAACATCTGGTTCCTTGAAAATATAATAACAACAACAACAAACAACAAGCCTTAGGAAAGCTAGGGAAAAAAAAAAGAGAGAAGATTCAAAATAAAAAGGGAGACACCACAACATGGCCCCACAGAAATGGTGATAAGTAATTGCGTAATGATGGACTCGACAACCTGAAGGAAACCAGTGGATTCCTAGACACCCAAACCTGTAGTGAGAACTCCGGAATTTTGGTTTCTTTAAAAATACAGAGATTTTATAAGAATGTGTTCTCGCTTTGATCCCAGGTGTGGGGTTATAGGGCTGCTTCCCAGCAGCTGGCTGTCATTTGCGTCAGGCTCTAGCAGAGGCACCGTTCTGCTGCAATTGTTTGACATTAGGAGTTCTGGGGACTTTTCAGAGAGCCTTCCCTCTCCCCCCTCCCCCAGAGGAGGGGTTGGTGGGTGTTGGCTGGTTAGGGAGGTTGGTTTAGGTTTGTTAGTAGCTGTGGTCAAAGAAGAAATGAAAAGAAAGAAATTAGATTCAGGGATTTCCCCTAATTCCTCTTTCTCCTCTCTCCTTGTTACTCTCCCACCTAGTGTTAGGGGTTTAGGGGTGGGGAATAAAGGATGGGAAAAAGAAGAACCCACAAAGTAGCAAAGACCGGTTACATACACCCCTTACTGAGGAGGCAGGGATGGGACACTAAGTTCCAGTTGGGCCGGCTGAGGAATCCCAGCCTCCAAGTGTACAGTAGGGTGACTATAAATAACAAGAGTAACAGGCACATCTCAGAAAGCTAACAGAGTTTTTAAAGCTTTCATCATAAATAATAAAATTTCCAGGCACTTTGTTTAACCTCAATACATATACACAAAGTCTGTAACATGGTACCCCATTGGTACCTATTAACACTTAGGATTTCGTGCTGTATTCATCAGTTAAGACAAGTTGAAAGAAGTTTTGTAGACAATGGTTGGCGCAAAGAATGAAGAGGCTGTGGAGTAGACACTCTAAGTCGCTTTGGGGCTTTCTTTAATGTTTCCTGACAACGTCCAGGCAAAGGGACGATTGTGGGTGATTGTGTGTTTTCCCAGATACCCTGATGTGCTTGGGACAATGTTTGAGCAGCCATAGAAACATCTGTGTACACAATGAAGCATTTTCTGTATTGCTCATTAATACTTCTAAATTTTCTATTTTAGACAGGACCTAAGCCTCAGTGGCAGCAGACCGCTCCATCATTCCATTTAAATGCCAAACAGGATACCCACATTCCAGAGCCCTATACTATTAAAAATGACCAGTCATATGGTAAGAACTTTGACCTTTTAAATTAATAAACACGAATAGTCAATAAAGCCACAAAATCATAAAATCTAAGTGGCACCTGCTATATAGAAATTTTTCTTCTATACATTTACCATCATAAAACAATTGTTTCCAGCTCCTGGTTATTTAAGGCCATTGTAAATGCTTTTTGTGAAATATTTATTAATTCTAATTTATTCTCTCACCATTTTGTTAGAGAGACGTATGTACTTTACTTCCATCATATTCTGTTCCATTATCTTTTGCTACCCCTTTCCCTCTTTCACAGGACCCCAACCCCTTCTTCTAGCAAGTCCCTTCTGCATTTAATTAAGGTTGTTTGCATGAGCACTGAAAAGGCAACTTCCTGGTGGCCACCACTGAGGCATGTCCTTCCTCCCCTTCAAGCAATCCTTGATCACCCAAGGTTCTGAAGGGAGAGGTGGGTGTTATGAGCCCTGCCCCTCTCTACAATGTTGATGGGCCCTTTGTGTCAAAGACTGAGAACCTTTTTCTAAGAATGTCGTAAGTCGTGAATAATATTTTCAAATTAGTCTTTAAAAAATGTTTTTACTCTAGGGTCTGAAGAGATAACTCAGTCCGTTAAATACGAGGACCTAAGGACCTGAGTTCTCTCCCCGCGTTCCCCTCGGAAGCCAGCCGGGTGCGGTAGTTTGCCCTTGTAGTCTCAGTGCTGAGGTGAGACAGAGGGCTTCCTGAGGCTGCCTGACTGGCCGTCCAAGCCCAGCTCCTGAGCTGCAGGTTACTGCACAGGTGTTCAGGCCTCTGCACAGGTCTGCACATATAGGTGCACATGGACATTATTTGTTTGTTTGTTTTGCATTCCAATTGTATCAACTCCTCCCATCCCACCCTCCCTCCCTCCTCTCCCCTATTCCCCTCCCCTAGTCCTCAGTAAAGGGAGAGCCCTTCTCTCTTACCAAGAGTATCAAGAGTATCAGGTCTCTTCAGAACTGCCTGTATCCTCTTCCTCTGTGGTCTGACAAGGCCAGCCTGCCCAGGGGGAGTGATCAATGAGCATGAACCAGAGTCCACGTCAGAGACAGCTCTTGGTCCTCTTACTTGGAAACCCATATGAAGACTGAGCTGCCTATGGGCTAAATCTGAGCAGGGGTTCTGGGTCCTTTCCATTCATTCTTCTTAGTTGGTGGTGCATCAGTCCTGCAGGTGCCCATGAGTCCAGATTTGTTGGCTTTGTTGGTCTCCTTGTGGAGCTCCTGTCCTTTCTGGGTCCTTCTATCCCTCCTACTCTTCTATAAGGCTCCCTGTGCTCTGCCCAAAGTTTGGCTGTGAGTCTCAGCATCTGCTTCGATCCCCTGCCGGGTGGAGTCTTTCAGAGGAGAGGAGAGGCCCCAATCCTGTTCCCTCTCTTCAACTGCCTGCAGTGTCTGTTCTACTTGCCCTCCTGAATGAGAATTAAGCATCCTCCCTAGGGTCCTCCTTGTTACTTAGCTTCTTTAGGCCTGTGGGTTGTAGTGTGGTAATCCTGTACTGTATGGCTAATATCCACTCATAAGCGAGTAGATACCATGTGTGTCTTTCTAGGTCGGGGTTAAATCTGTACAACAGAACACTACTCAGCTATAAAAACAAGGACATCATGGAATTTGCAGGCAAATGGATGGATCTGGAAAAGCACACAAACATTTTCAAAACTTCTAATATATTAGCACTTATCAGATTGATTGCATTTAACATTAGTACGGTTATAAAGTCACTGTTCTTTTACATTTTTCTTGAATAGTGTAATTTTGTTGTTATCATAGTTCTAATCTTTTAAAGAGGCTTTAATACAAATATATCACTGAAAATTTTATCATTTTCAAAGCTCCACACAATTCAGCAATATTATTAAAATAGAGGATTTTATTATGATGATTTAAATCAATAACTTTTGATAGTAAAACAATATGCATTAGTATTCTTTGAGATGAGAACATAAAGTATGGAATACATTTCTGGATGGTGCTGCAGCATCTTTATCTAAGGATTTACATGCTCTAGTTTACCTTTTACATGAACACCTTTTTTACGTTTTAGCTGAATACATAGAGCACTTTGGGAAAAAAGGGAAATTACTGACACAGACTGAAGACAGCCGTGCTGGACCATCGACTTCCAGGCCATCGACTTCCAGGCCAAAGGTCAAATCTCCACATAAGGAGCGAGAGAACTTTAGAAGCACCCTCGTCAACGTCATTATGTGAGTTCTATAGGCTAACCAGCATGTTACCCCAGAAAACCCCTAGGAAGTTCTCTACACATCCCCAGAGGTCGCTGCCAAGCCTTGCTACCATGACATAAGTTTGAAAATGGAGAATGGGAGAGTTTGAGTTTAGGCCTGTTGAGTATGTCCCACTTTCAAATACCATCCCTTGTAAAGGTGCCTGTGCTAATATTTGATGTCAGCCAACTGAGCAGAGACTATCTGGGAGTTCTGGCTACCGTCATGATGGTTGGTAAAGGATGAGGTTGTCTCGTACCCTGCCCCCATGTTGTCTGTGGTGACCTCTGTGATGCTGAGAGGCATCTGAGCACAACAGATAGCCTATATTGCTGTTGGAGTCTCGTGGAAGAAGGTTTCTCATGCCTGGGGCTGGGGTTCTTGTTAGCTACTCTGACTACCGAGGGGAGCATTGTCAGCCCAAGTGGCATTGCTTCATCTAAGATATGTAGGCAGTTTTAGGAACATATAAAATAATGTGATTCCTTAAGGCTTCTTCAAATAAACTTAGTGTTATTTATCCCTCTTCCCTCCCTCTGCTCGTTTTGACCTCTCTTTCTCCTTCCTAATTTAAAAGCCCCATCCCCGCTTTCCCACTTCCCCCCTTTATAACACTTGTATCTTGCTATCCCCACCCTGGCTCTCCGTGCTCCTTTTTTATCTTCCTGGTTTCTGTAGCTACCCCAGGTTATATACTCGGAGCGGAAGATCTGGAGCTGGGAGCCTCAGATAAGCGAAGACCAGTGGCATTTGTCTTTCTGGGGCATTCAGAATAATGGAGATTATTAAAGGCTGGAGGAGGTTTATATGGGATCATGAAAGGACAGAAGCATCAATTATATGGGAGTAAAAAGGAGTGTTTTTTCCAGAGACTCTTTCCAGAACACGGGGAAACAGAACAAATAACAACCATACGTTTTAGATATTTTAGATCACCGAGACGAGTAGATTTCAAAAGTTGTATTCTGAAAGAAAAGTATTTGAGGCAATCCATGTTACTACATTTAATTGTACATTGTATTAATAAATCATAATATCACCTTTTGCTTAGTAAATATATCATTACAACTTTTGCACTTTTAGTGAAAAAAAACTTATAACTAACTTAAAAAAGAAGACATAAAATTGCAATTTGTGGAACTGAATTTGTAAGTGACTATGAAAGCTGACCTTTATGGGTTGAGGAATTCCCCTTCCTTTTCTAGTTTGTGAGTGGTTTCAATAGGTGCTACATTTTTGCCAAATGCTCTTTCTGTGTCTACTGAGATGACTTTTTGGCCTTTCTCCTTTATTCTACCAGTATTAACAGGTGATACATTTCACTAAAGGCTCTCCCAGCTCTCATTCAGTCACTGCGTACCTTAATCTGTACAATATTGCTGGATTTTATTTGCTTTTGGAAGGCAATTTTAAAATCATATTTATGTACAACTTAAAAATTATACTTATGTACATAACTCAGCAGCGTGCCTCTAACCTAGTTTGGTGGCAAGTTCTTTGGTCTTTGGCTTTTCCAGCTCGGCAATGCAAGCCACGCACTTTGAACATTGCCTCCCCACCATTTCTGTTGTAACTGGATCTGGAAGCTTCCTCCAGCTTACCCAGAGTTCCCAGTTAACATGTGACAGCAGCAGTGGCGCATGTGTTCCTGCGCACCAGCTGCCCAGCCTGGCTTTCCCCTCCACAATGCAGCAGCTGCCCCACCCCACCCCACCCCACCCCACCAAGTTGCAGCACAGGACAGGCAGGAAGTACAGCAGCTGAAGAGGGCTACATCATGTGCAACCAATCTTCCAAGGTTGTAGCCTTAGTGACCCCTGCTTGAAGGACACGTGCTCTCTCCACGAGGACAGCCTCTGCTTCCCTTGCTTTTCTCTGGCTTTGAGCAGCCGGAAGCTGTTTGACAGTCCAAGGCCCGGGGACTGGTCAGCCACGGGAGATTGTGTTGCTGCAGCAGGCAGGTGCAGTGGGTGGGGTCCTCTTTCACCCTGGATGTCCTGTCCAGCACCCTGTGCACACGTGTGGTCCTTGCTCACATACACATACAACCCTCTGGGCATTCAGTGTCTTCAGAGCAGCAGCTCTCAGGCCTTATCGTCCTCTTTGCGTCCTTTGCCCAGGCCGTCTTGCTCGGCTGGAGGGGAGAGGTTTGCTGTTTTGTGAGTGGTTTTTAAACAAGGTGAACAATTTGTGCTTGCCGTGTCATGCCTCTAGCTCTGCTATCAAATCTCTACTAGCCCCATAAAAAATTGGGTCTGTGAGTCTTTTCTTTTTTCTTTCTCTGTTTTCTGAAGAAGTTTCTGTAAAACTGGCTGGATTTCTTCCCTGACAGAATTCATTAGTGAGGCCACTTGGACCTGAATTTTTCTCTGCGGGAAATTATGAATTACTAATTATATTAATTTGCTTGATATTGATCAAGTCATATTTGGTATTTCTTGTGGAGCTGTGTTTGGAACACTTTGCCTTTGGGGTGTCATTCCTGTTCAGCTGTCTAATTTTCTGTGTAATTAGCTGCCAAGATAACCCTGTTTTCTGCCGACTTTGGTACCTGTTGACTCCAGGGTGAGGGCCGTTCTGGAGGCTCCATGCAGGTTGTCTGCCTTCCTTCTGTGACAGATAGATGGCAGCTTTTTATAGACTGTGTTGTCTGCCCTCTGGGGCTTCTCTCCTCAATGACTGCTTTTCCTTCTTGTCCCCTCACAATTTCACTTCTGTTTCACACTTGAAGAAGGGATTGCCACTGCTATTTAGAACCAAAAGCCTCTTACTTTGATGAACAGGAACATATCAATGTAGTTATTTTTCATTTTCAAGTATATCCTATTTTTCTTTAACTAGGCAAAGCATCCCCTCCTCTGATTGCTCTGGTTCTGAACTGAATGCCATTCTCTTGGAAAGAGCATGGCTGCTTGGTGTCACATGATGATGGAGATCCCTCTTTCCATGTGAAATTGGTTATGGGACTAAAGGGGAGCTATTTCTTATCTCTGACATTTAGTTTCTTCATCTGTGAGGTGGGGATAATCATGTCTTTCAACAGTATGTGTGAAGTTTAGAAATTATCCCTGCAAAACTGTTAAGTGCTTGATTGGTGATCAATAGCTCTTACCGTTTCTGGTGAGCAGAATACAGCCCTAAAACAACAGAACCATGGGACTGTAGAGCTTAAGGGATATTGGCCCTCACTCAGAATGTCTATCACGGTTTCTAAGACCCCAGCATTCTTCCTCCCCACTCTGGCCTTATTGAGTGTATTCTTTTTGCCATTATTCACATAAAGGATAAAAGGGTGATGGCCAGGATACAGGAAGGCTGGCGAGATATTTCCAAATTGAAAACAACCACAAACACCACTTAACCGAAGTCAAGCACCTTACAGTGGCAGAATGTGAACCTAGACTTGATGATCTGAAAATACAGTATTATTTTATTAGTTCCTTTCTGGGCAAGCCACAGCATAAGGAGAGTACATTTGTGGTTAGAATAATCAATTCTTGTTTTTTTTTTTTTTTTTACCTGCTTAATATTTTGAGGATCTCCTGCTACTTTCATATTCATATTCTGTTGTTTGGTAAAGATCTATTGATCACCTATCATACATTAAATTAAATGGACTCTTTTTAAACATTTAAAAAACATAATATGAAACTGAATATTGGATTCTTAGGATCAGAAAAGACAAATTAAAAGATATACCTGGGTACCAACGTTGGTATGATTTCTTAGGAACATGTTCAATAAATCTTCAGCATCTGCCAGTCAGTCAGTGAGGGACTGGTGTCTGTTATTCAGTACCTCTGATTTGTAGAAGCAGATGACATTGGGCTCTGGAGCACAGTGCAGAAGTTAGAGCTAGGCCAGCACAACCCGTTATGTTAGATCTGTAAACTATGCGCTTCTGCACAGAGGAGCCTCAGAAAAAGTCAGAGAGTGGTTCATGCACAACACCACTTTTGAATTGAATCATAGTCATTGCAGGAGCTTTATGAACACACACTCAAAACATGCAAAGGACATATGGGTTTGTGTGTTGCTTGGTGTCAGCGTGTATGTCTCGAGATGTGAGACGAGGTCTTCAGAGAATGTGTTCGTGTTTTCCGAAAAACAGCACTTGGACCTTCTATCATCACTTTATCTCAAATAGATTAATAAACAGCTATATATTGGGGATAATACAAGAATATGCTTTGCAAGTTCAAAGAAGTGAGAGCTCAGTTTTGTAGTAGTAATAGCAGCTGTGCAAAGGCCATGGCAGGGGATGTTTCCCATGGTGCAGTTCTCAGAGAAAACTTCTAATTGTTTCCCCATACGTACAGAGAAAAGGGTATTCTAATGTGGCACCAAGCAAATAAATGTTCAACCATTTGTTTTTCTGGTGATTTAATAGAGAACAGTTGTGACGTTCTTATACCAGTGCTTCATGTTTGAACTGCCTTCGCATGCTTTTGACTCATTTGTGTTTATCACTGTCTTAGGCAACAAGATGGTTCTGCTGTTGAGAGCATGATTTCAAAAACGGCTGCTTCTGCAGTAGAGAAAGACATCTTGGTAACAGCCTATTTCTCCTGTCACTGGAATTACGAATAGAGGGAGGACCTACAGATGCTGTATGCCCTTCCCTGCATCTCTGTAGGCATGAGTGAATGGAGGGTTGCGTCAAAGTATTCTATCAGAGTAGAAAGAAAGCTCTCTCCTCCTTGTCACCCAAGATCACAAATCTGCCTGATCCCACCTTAAAGCGTGACCCAGTCATATATATCTCTATGCACCATTGCTCATTTATGACATACATGCAGACAAAACACCCATACACATAAAATAAGCAAATAAATAAAAGCATTGTGAATTTGAAGATACTTTAAAATTTGATTTTTGCCCTGAGTGCTGTGTAAATAATTGCGAAGCATGGAGATCATGAGATTTTAAAGTGGGTATTAACATGTATAATATTTATAATCTAATAAAGGGTAGAAATGGGCTGTCTTAGTGTTTCACTTGTGAAGAGACACCCTGACCAAGGAAACTCTTATAAAGGAAGGCATTTACCTGGGGGCTTGCTTAAAATTTCAGAGATTTAGTCCATTATCATTACGGCAGGGAACATGGTAGCATGCAGGCAGGCAGAGAGACAGAGAGAGAGGTGGGGCCTACACAGGGAAGGAAGGAGGAGCCAGACGAGACCTGGACTCTCAGCCCCTGCACCCGGCAAGGTTTTTGAAACCTCAAAGCCCAATTCTAGTGACATACCTCCTCCATCAAGGCCACAGCTCCTAATCAACCCTCCAGACAGTTTACCACCTGGGGCCTAAGCATGCAGGTATCAGAGCCCACAAGGGCCATTTTCATTCAAGCCGCCACAACTGTATGTTTCAAGGGGTAGACTGAAAGGATATAGACTTGAATGCAGCTTTTAAGATTGACTTCTGATTATCAGGAAAAAAAAGGAGCAAATTTATAAAACTAAATTGTAATTCAGCGTATACTCTGTTCAGTACATCATATATTTGATGATGTTACTTTGATGTTAATGGTGAGGTTGTGAACGGAGAAAAATGCTCTCGCTTCTAGGAAATAGCACTTTAAAAAATTAAGAGATCTCAAACAATGCTTACATGATTTACACAAAACATTTTTATTATTTATAAATACTTTGTTCTCCCCAGACTTTACCTTCCCTGCGGTTTTGTGTTTTGACACACACACTCTCTTACTGTAGTGCTAAATGTGTGCCTCCTCATTCCTTACAGAAATATTACTACTACATTCATCATGGGATTGATACTGATCATGTGGCCCCAATGGAAGATTCTTGGTTGGAGCACGTATTGAATTTGGTTCCACAACATCTGAAAGTCCTCACCAACAGTGTAACAGTCTTGTCAGATGAAATGAGAGAAGATTATCTTCTCAGTGTGAAGAAATCCATAGGTAAATTGCTGTTGCTCCTTGTTTTCTGGTACTTGTGTTTTGAATATGTCAAAGGTAATTTTTGAATTGAAAGGTAATAACTGGACTTTCACTTTCACTTTCTTTCTTTTGTTTTTTCTCAAGACAGGGTTTCCCTGTGTAAGCTTTGCTGTCTGGAACTGCTTTGTAGACCAGGCTGGCCTCAAACTCACAGCCATCTGCCTGCCTCTGCCTCCCTGAGTGCTGGGATTACACCACGCCTGGCAACTTTTCACCTTCTTGATTATGCACTTTCTTGCCTTACTGCTGCATTACCTAGGACCCCAGCCAACCTCCATTAGTTGGGTATAAATTACTTTTTAAATCAATTTTTCTATAACACTGTGAAGAGTGAAATATTTTCAGCCCCTCATAATATTTATTGTGTCTCAGTCACTAGAAAGCAGTAGGCACTTAGGAAGCGATTTCTTCCTTCAAAATGGACCTTCATTTAAATATTTCTTAGCATAGGCATGAGAGACAAGGCATGCCCATGTGTGTGTTTTTGTCAGTTTGTGTTTATGTGTGTAATAATATTTTTGCTACAGACCAAAAGGTGGCCAACTATGGCTCGGAAGCCATATCTGAACACTGCCTACTTTGTAAAGAGGTTTCAGCAGCACACAGCCATTCTAATATTTTTTTTTTCTAAGACATCATGTATGGCCACTTTTGAGTTACAACAGCAGATCTGGGCCGCTGAACAGAGACCCCGTGGCTTACAAAGAAGAGATAGTTACCATAGAACCTTTAGTGTAAGAAATTTGTTAAGCCACAGTATGGATTTACAGGTTGATCTCTAAGTAGTAATAAGTAGTAGGAATTAAAAAAAATAGCAGTTTCTGGCCCAATCTAAAGTCCCTGGAGGTAGGACTTTGGAATATATACTTTTCAGAAAGGTTTTTCAGTAATCTTTTTTAAGTTTTAAATTTTTTAATTAATTTATTTTTTAATTACTTACAGTTTATTCACTTTGTATCCCAGCTGTAGCCCTCTCCCTCATCCCCTCACAATCCCACTTGCCCTCCCTCTTTTCCTCCCATGTCCCTCTCCCAGGCCACTGATAGGGGAGGTTTTTCTCCCCTTCCATCTGACCCTAGCCTGTCAGGTCTCATCAGGATTGGCTGCATTGTTCTCCTCTGTGGCCTGGTAAGACTGTTCCCCCCTCAGGGGGAGGTGATCAAAGAGCCAGCCACTGAGTTCATGTCAGAGACAGTTTCTGTTACCCTTACTAGGGTACCAACTTGGATACTGAGCTGCCACGGGCTACATCTGAGCAGGGGTTCTAGGTTATTTCCATGCATGGCCCTTGTTTGGAGTATCAGTCTCAGAACGATACCTGTGCTCAGATTTTTTCGTTCTGTTGCTCTCCTTGTGGAGCTCCTGTTCTCTCCAGGTCCTACTATCTCCCCCTTCATTAATGAGATTCCCTGCACTCTGCCCAAAGTTTGGCTATGAGTCTCAGCATCTGTGTTGATACCCTGCAGGGTAGAGTCTTTCAGAGGTCCTCTGTCCTGTTTCCTGTTTGCTCCTTCTTCCAATATCTGTCCCGTTTGTCTTTCTGAGTGAGGATTGATTGTCTTACCCAGGGTCCTCCTCCTTGCTTACCTTTAGGTGTACAGATTTTAGTAGGTTTTACAGATTTTAGTAGGTTTTTGATAGCACAGCAGATACAGTGGACGCTCCACTAAAGGCTGGTGAAATCACAGTGCATGGAGTGATTTAACTGTTCTGAGAACAGCGTTTAAACTGTAAAAGAGCATAAGTAGAGTAGTAAGGAGCAGATACCAAAGGAATAGGAGGTCACTGTGATGCAGGGAGGACTTCAGAAGCCTCTAAACTGACTCTTTGAGGGGCAGGATGGGATATGGGGATGAAACAGGGCCTCCCTAAGTAGCCAAGGCTTTCTTGAATTTACTATCTAGCTTAGGATGGTTTTCAACTTGTGATCCTCTGGCTTGTGTCTGCCTAGTCCTCGGATCACAAACGAGTAACAGCATTCCTAGCCCCAGCACGGAGTCTTGAAGCACGAGGAACAACAGACATGTTTCCAAGGCCGTTCTTTCTAGACTTGTGAACCACTGTGACAGCCAAAGTGTAGGGTGCATTTGGGGAAAGGGGCAGCATTTGAGAGGGCTTGAGTGCCTCTCTAAAGCATTTGAGGGTTAAAGGGCAGTCTGAAGAATTTTAAGCAGGGGGTAGCAGTCTGTTTTTGCATTGTAGAAAGTGCATCTTGAAAGACAGGCAGGAAAATGGAGCCGATTGTGATTGGAGACACAGCAGACAGGAGCAGAGGGAGCTGGCTGTACTGGCTTTCTAATGACTGTGTGATGCCCTTATGCAATTTCAAATGCCACAAGGTAATGTGTGCCTTTTCCCCGTGAAAGAAATTCTCTTCTTTTGGCTGACCTACACTTGGATGGAATAAAGGAAAATGTAATATTAAAGTCAATTATTTTCAAATGAAACAATAGCAACATGTTAAGAAAGAGAACACACTAAGACATTGACTTGATAGATTTTTTTCACAATTTGTTCTTCATAAATGCACAAATTTCTCTTTATTACAAAACTAACACAGTTTAAGTGATTAATTTTAATAGTATTTTTTTTCTTGGTAATATGCTGCAACTAATCTAAGGTTAATTATCCAAACTTTTCACTTCTTTCTTAGTTGATTTTGTTTTAAAAGACCCCAGAGAAAAAGAGGATGATAGCAAGACAACTGATCCCCCACCGCACCGCAAAGAGTAAGTGGGCGGGCGTTCCCAGCATTCCCAGCATTCCCACCGTATGGTCAACCATGCCCAACTATCAAATTTAAGACATTTCCTTTAATGTGTGCATTTCTCCAGATGTGCTCATAGTTTATATATTACACCTGTCTACATAGTTTTCTCCTAAGTGAGTATGAGGGCAGTCTGAAGTAGGTGAGTTCCTGTCTCAAAAACAAAACTGAATCAACTCTAACCAACCAAAGTAAAACACCTCTTGTGGCCAGGAGGTGGCAGTAGTGTACAGCTTTGGTGGCACTTGGGAGGCACAGGCAGACAGATCTCTGAGTTCCGTGGCCAGTCTGGTTTACAGAGTTCCAGGCCAGCCAGGGCTACACAGAGAAACCCTGTCTCACAAACAAATCACAGCCGTTGTGGAAAGATTTTGTTATGGCCTTTATGCCTCCATAGTATCAAGCTTTAGGTGGTAAAGCACAAAAATTTGGTGACGGCTTGTAAAAAAACATGTTGGGAACATTAAAAAAACAACAAATATATCCATAGAATATTTCAATTTATCTATGGATTAAAATGCAGAACATGTGGTTAAAAAAAAAAACACTTGCTGTACATTTTCCTTAAAAGTAGCATTTAGGAGTGAGGCTCTAAAATATTTGAAAAATAAAACATACATTAGAAAAATATTAATTTTCTTCTCAATAATAACACATGCTTTATGTGGAAAACTTTCTGTGGAGAAGGTCTCTGGTTTAGGCAGGAGAAGCTGTCAATCACTCACAGGCTCAGGGAGTTATAAGCGTAGAAATAGAAGGAGGAAAAGGATAGAACATTTTTCTTTTTTGAACTGGAGTCTGGTGTTTTGAGAGATGATACCTTGGAAATTAGGGTCCCTTGGCATCCTTAGTCTTCTTAAGGAAGGAATTCAACAGTGGACTCAAAGGGAAAAAGCTTGAGGACCATTTTACTAGGGTTTAAAAGAAAAAACCCAGGATGGGCAAACTGTAACTCTCAGCAGAGGAGGAGACTGGAGAAAAGCAATTAATACACATAAAGTGTACATATATGTATATGTATATGTATATGTATATATATATATATATATATATATATATATATATATATATATATATTTATAGGCCCGTCATGTGGCAACAAGCAGACACATGGCAGGGAAAGAAACCTTAGAGAAAGAGTGAGAGCAACTCAGCCAGAGTTGCTGAGAGCACATGGAAAGCCAGGCCAAACAGACAGGATTTCAGGGTGGTTTTAAGGACTATGCTAAGGTGAACATTACGGGAAAGAAAACATGCTCCCTCATCAAAGGGCAAACTACTTCTCCTTTTGTTTTACATGTTCTTAAGGTGAGCCTGCCTTCTTAGAGGAAATTCCACTTTCTTGAAGGGTAGTTCTTTGGCTACGGGATTGACTGTCCAACTGTGGGTCAGTCTGAACACCTTGATTAATGCAATCACCAATGGTGTTGATTTCACATTAAGAAACTAAATCAAAGCACTTCTCCATGGTGTCACTTAATCAAGAGGGAACCTAACAGGACAGATTTGAATTCTCTATTCCACTCTTCCTATGTTTTCTTTTGTCTGTTGTATGAGTCTGAATCTGTGCCTGTCTGAATTCTGTCTTATGATTCTGTCTGTCCCTGTCTCTGTGTCTTTTTGTGTGTCCCTGTGTGCTTGTCCCGAAGGGCTTCCTGAATGTTGTCTTGTGAATCTCTTCCCCTCCCCTCTGTATGTATGCTCCAAATAAAGGGCTTTCCCCCCTTTCTTTTATTGAACAACACAAAAAACATCACATGGGGGAAGGAGTGAGGGATACTTTACAGAAATATTTATAAGGCCTACTTTTATCCTATTTTCATCAAATTATTATCATAACTTGTATACAAACACACATGCATTACCCTCAGGCCTGGGCATGACAGAGTATGTAATTTAAGACTACAGCTATACATTAACTTAGATTGTAAAGTTGATTACGTAAGAAATAAGGCAAGTAAGGTTGGTTATTACATTGTTCTCTTAAAGGAAAGTTAAACAAACATTCTGACACATAGTAGGAAAGAAATCTTAAGTTTCAAGTGACCTTAAGGTGCATTATTATTTCTACTCTGAGATCCAACAAATGTTCTCATCTCTTTGCACATAAGAGATGAGATTTATTTGATATATAAAAATATATCAAAATGTGTTGCCATACAACTAAATTAATCCTTTTATGTTTTCGTAGCTTGGGATGTCAACTTGGAATGTTCAGGCCAGAGAAATAGGTTTCCCTAATGGGCCTCCACAGAGCCCTGATCAAGGCCACTGTAATATCCTCCTTCTTGAGTAGAGTTGGTCCTACACCAAATCAGGAGCCAGATCCTCCATGTTTATAGCATTTCTGGCCTCCAACCCAGAGCAAAACCAAGGACATTTTTAATTTATGGCTAAAGAAAGGAATGAAAGCCTCTGGCCTTCACTGCCTGTCTTATTTCTGTGTCCTGGCTTCACCATTTTCCCTCTAAAAAGGTGGCACTAACTGCAAGCCAGGGAACTGTGGAGACAACTGAATCTGGCTTTGTTGCATGGGGTCATCACGTGTGGCAGTTGGGTTACCCTACAATGGGCCTATCTAGGAGACCTGGAGATTGTATTACTGACTGCATTCATGTAACAACCCGGTGTAGGGCAAAGAGGCAGTCTTGACTGGCATCTTGTTAGAGAAGTGAGGCAGAAGTAAAGGCAAGAATCACTGTCATTATAAGAATCTCTGTCTCTCTAGACAGAGAACCAGGAGAAGTTAGAAGCAAGGACATATTAAAATGTGTGAGCTGAAGTCCGCAGAATCGCTTGATGCGCTTATAGAAATATCTACCCTTTGGGTTCCTCCTTGTATTCCCACCCTCCAAGGCTGGAGTTAGGAGTGATAGACCCAGGATCTGCTTTCAGACACTTTGATGGCTGATGGGTGGCTGGAATCACAGTGTGCGGTCCTCGCAGATGGCCTCCACGGATACAGGGAAGAAATGTATCCATTTTCAAAAAAGGTTAAAACAACCATGGTCTACTTCCAGCTGCAGGTCCTAAGCCTAGGTTAGGTAGTGTTGGAACCGAGGTAAGGTCGATTTGATTTAAATCTTTAACACATGAAGTAATTGTGTCATGGAAATGTTTAAAATCAGATACTTAAACCAAGTATTTAACTAAAATGGATGATAAAAATTATGGCCATAAAGTGGACGTGTTTGAATATAAAGATGCTTGAAAATGCTATAAATTACAAGTGCATTTGGTGTACCTGACCCTGCGTGCCCCAGCTGAGCGATACAGGGCTGCAGGTCTTTTCACGTGTGACCACCAGCTGCATGGCGGCTACCCACCGGGCACTGCCTAACTCCTCAGAGGGGCTTATCACCAGCTCCGGATAAAAGCCAAATCCAGATGTGTTGCTCTTACGCTATCATAGACCAAAAAGCTCCAGAGTCCAAATATGGTAAGTCGGGGACATCTGTGTTCTGAGTGAAGAAGCTGGTCTGTCTTTTATATGCAAAGGATGGTTTACCCAAGCCATGAGGGTTACCAAATAAATGTGCTTTCAAATAAGAATGATAGAGTGAGCATATAATGAACCTTACACATTGATAGCTAAAAAGGTCAAGGTAATATCCATAGCAAGCTGGACCATATCCTTACCATTTTTGTAAAATAAAGCAAAAGTTTAAATGTTGTGTATTTTTGACATTAAGAGTCTTCATATATGAAAGCGAGCTGGCTATTGTTTCCATTTGTCATTTTAGGTTATATATAGACTCAACAGGATCAAGTATCTAGAAACAGAAATTAGTTACCATATGTGGTAAAGATTTAAATATTATTTTAAAATGATTGTCATAATGAAATTATGCTAACTACATATGTACATATGTATACATATGTATACATATACAATTGTACATATGTACAAATATGTATATAATTATACTCTACATATTTAGTATAATTTGTACCAGTTGGTTTCAACTGTCAGTTTGACAATCTAGAATCACATGCGATGAGAGTTGTAATAAGGAACTATGTCAACCAGGTTGGCTTATGTTCATGTTTGTGGAGGACTGTTTCCATTTGACCACTGTATGCTACTTATAGATTCAATAGGATCAAGTATTTAGAGACAAAAATACCTTATGGTTAAATATTGAAAGCAAATTTCATGATATTGTCAAAATTAAGTTATGCTAAACACAGAGTATGTATTTTAGAATATAATTACACATTTTGTAATTTCTAAGAGATCATATTAAAATAAAAGTATTTTGATTACTACTCAAAATATATACTTATTGTCAAAAAGTACTGTGTGTTGTGCTTAGGACCAAACCCAGGACCTTCTGTGAGCTAGGCAAGTGCTCTAACCCCTGAGTCAAATGCCCAAGCCAATGCCCCTTTTGATTTTTAAGAAAGACAATTCAGTTTTCTCTTTGTGTTCTCAGAATGGAAGTCTTGCCAAAGCCGTGGAGGAGGTCTTTCCTGTCTGCACGTAGTTACATTAGGGAGCACCTGCATGCGATGAACCCCACGATGCTGGCCGTGCTGGATCTGTGGCACAGCACTTTTAAGTGAGTGTCCCCGGCCTTCCGAAACTAATGTCCTTAGGTTTATTTCTTCAATGCATATGAGTGTTTGTCTGCATGCGTGTGCATGCACCATGCTTGTGCCTGGTGCCTAGTGAGGTTGGGAGAAGACATTGGATTCCCCCGGGGCTGGAATTACAGTCGGCTGTAAGCCTGTGGTGTGGGAGTTTGGAGATGACGTGGGTCTGTGCAATAGCAGGTGTTCTTAACCACGGAGCCATCATCTCTGCCCTCTTACTAAAAAATTTAAAAGATAGAGATTTTTAATCACATCTGATTGCTTTTATTATTCTAATTGTAAATGAAAATTACTTACAAATACAATGCAAGTATTAAAGCATGGTTTTGGTAAATGATATATAACATAGAGAATAATAAGTAATCATCTTTTTACATCTAACCCATTGTACCCGTCTTCTCCATCTAATCGCCATATATGACTGGACAGATATGGGATGCCCTCAGCTAAGGGCCTCAGTGTCTCTATCTCGTTTCAAGTGACCTGGAGCATAAGCTGTGCCAGTGCTCTGAGCGTTGATAAGTGTGAGAAACAATGCCTGGGTTAGTGGCACATACTGGAGGCCCCTCATGGCTAACGGAGAGCATGGCCTGCCTCTCGGGCATTGTCCTGGTGGAGCAGAGCAGCTGTGGGCAGGAAAGACATAGCAGAGATGGTTAGAAAGTTGCTTGGTGCACCTGGAGCAAAAAGCTTTGCCCCTTCAGGCTGAGGAGGAGGACCTGCCACGCTGCCTGGGAAGCCCAGCTTCCTGTGCCTGCTCCTGCGGGCCTGTTACAGGCCTCGGGGAAGCACTCCAGCTTATGCTCGCATGGATACAGGCTTCAAAATGTATCAAAGTAAGGCACATTTAGATTTCTTAAAGGTGGTCCCTCGTGAGGCACCTGTGGGAAGCGGGATGCCACCCTCTCTCTTTCTTCCCGACAACCCAAACAAGTTACACACAGCACAGTTGCAGTACAGTGGACATTTTCTGTTTTGTTTTGGACTCTTTGACCATATACGTGTGGATGCCCCCATTCACACATGCATTCCATAGCCACACAATATATTTGGGATTTGTTGCAACATCTTAAAGCATAAGTGTTTAACAAACGTTTCATTTATAAATGAAGATATATCCTATTTGTTCCCTCAAAACTATCTTACAAGCATTCCCATGACTGACCTGGGCTTGACCAAGTCCTTCACCTTTAGAAGCTCACACAGACCCCAAGGATCTGGGGTTTCTGGGGCTTCTTTGGTAGAGAGCTTCCTCACCCCAGGCTCCCTGCTCCTCAAGGTCACCTTCCTTTTGAAGAAGCCAGCCCTGTATGCACCAAGTGTTACCACACTTTCTTCTTCAACTCTTTTGGTTTCTATGGGGGAAAAAGCCTAAGTTCTCCACTAAATCCCAGTTACTATGTGCTTTTCCTTCATAGTGATGTTTCACAATGCCATATTCCTTTTGAATCTCACTATCTACATCATTTAAACATTTAGTCATTGTTATGGTTTGGGTCTAAAAGGTACCCTCCAAGGCTCACATGGATTAATCAGTTCATGAGCTCACCATTTGCAGGCCTCTTGGGAGATGAAGGGAGCTCACAAACTTAGGAGGCAGGACTAGCCTGAAGAGAGTGGTCCTGGAGGGAATGTATTTTGTGCTTAGGCCCTTCACTTTCAAAAGCTCTTTGCCTTTCTCCCTCCTTTCCTCCCTGTCTTCTCCCAGCTGCTTTGCCCTCCCTCCAGCTGCCTTGAAATGACCACTTCTCTGTCATCACTGTCTCTACACCATGAAGCTCTGCTCCACCACAGGCCCCAAAACGACAGAGCCAAGCAACAGACTATGAACTGAAACTTTTGAAACCAGTATCCAAAACAAATCTTTCTGCCTTTGTTTTCCTCTGGCATTTTGTCACAGCAACAGAAAGCTGACCAACACCAAAAATCTCATGTTCTTGACAATTTAATTCATAGAGTTCAGCTTTTGATGATAAATCTAGAAATATGGTGTTTTTTAGAACATACAAATTAGCAAAACCATAAACACCACAAAATCTTTATCTTAAATTGCTGTTTATTTTTATCTCTTGCAGGAAATTACGTTTAGTTGACATAGAAGAATTTCACAACCGCCAGGAAGCGTTAGAGCTGTCAGCCTTTCAGAACATTGTCATTAGACACATGGACTCTGCCAAGGAGACGCTACTTAAAACGTAAAATTCTGAACTCTCATACAGGGAGGTTTAAGTTTAGAGATGTGATTGGCGAAGTGTTTCATTTTAACTGCTTCTAGAAAATTTGTTTCCACAAGTTTCCAGCACCATTTCTGCCTCAGAGTTAAATTTGCCCTTATTGTCTTAGTCTGTAACATGTCCAGATGTTGTAGACACGGTGAGCAGAAGTGAGTTGAAGTGCTTGTCACCAGCAGTGGGCTTTTGTGAATGTGTTGCTGTTGCCTCTGCCCTGAGAGCTGTGGGGCAGCACATCATGCACTAGTCTCCACCAGGACCTTCCTGTGGTATCTGCGTGCCAGGCCCAGGCTGTGAGCTGTCATCCTGACTCTCGCTGAGGCACACTGAAGCAGTTAGCAGATGACCGGGAAGAGAATGTATACCGTTTCTAAAAGCTTTTAACCTCAGCGGTACTAGGGCTATCAAAACATAATTAAGTAGCTCTTTGGACTGGTCCTTCAGAATGGAACAGACACATATGATGGTGCCAGACAATGCGCTCTGGGCCACAATTGTCTGTAGTTCAATCATTAATGTATTAAAAACAGGACATTAAAATTAACAAAAGACATAAAAGCTCTGGCCATTCTTACAATTTCTAAGAAATATATGTTGCTCATTTAAGATTAAATATATTCTTTATCTTTTTTCTCCAATAAGTTAAAATAAGATTACTTTAAAAAAGTTAGCCTTTTGGGAACCCTCCTCCATTGCTAGTGGGAATATAAACTTGTACAACCACTTTGGAAATCAATCTGGCACTTTCTCAGACAATTAGGAATAGCGCTTCCTCAAGATCCAGCTAAAATTCCCTCTGTTCATTGACTTTTGTTCACCTTTCAGTTTAGAATATGATAATTTCATACTCACTCCTCTTCAATTATTTTCCAATTTGCCTCGTGATGTTTGTCTATTTGTGTTTATATTATCCCCACACACTTGTGAATCTCCAAGTTTCCTGTTGTTGGTTTTGAATTTTGAAGTTCAGTCTTTTTATATTTATTGAGACCTGTTTTATGACTACCATTCGTTCAGATGTCTTTTTAGAAGCATCTTCTGTGTCCATTGAATGCTCATCCCTTCATCTTAACTCCCATGGCTTCTGCCATTGGCAGGCCCATTTTTACTGTGTGTGTGTGTTTGCACACACATGCAAATATGCACATGAAAACAATTCCGTGTGTTGGGGTGCGCACACACGTGCATGTGACGGTGTCCTTGGGTGTCTACACCTTGAGTTTCCTCATTGGCTGAGGCTTGTGGGTTTGACTTTACTGGAGACTCCGTGGATCCTCCAACCTCTGCCCGACACCGGAGTCTGGGGCACACTGTTTCACTGGTGTTTTTAATGTGAGTCCCGGCTGTTAGATTAACTTAGGTACACCGGTGGGTCTCAACCTTCCTAGTGCTGGGACCCTTTCAGACAATTCCTCATGCTGTGGTGACCCCAACCATAAAATTATTATTTTTTTGTTGTTGTTGTTTTTCTTTTCTCTTTTGAGATAGAGTTTTTCTGTGTGGCCTTGGCTATCCTGAACTCACTTTGTAGACCAGGCTGGCCTCGAACTCACAGAGATCATGGGGAAGCCTCTGCCTCCTGAGTACTGGGATTAAAGGCGTGCACCACCATTCCAGGCCCATAAAATTATTTCATTGCTACTTCATAATAGTACTTTTGTTACCGTTAATAATAATAATAATGTGAATATATGGTATGCAGGATATCTGATCTGTGACCCCTGGGAAAGCGTCCTTCAGCTGGCAAAGGGGTCATAACCGTGGGTGAGAACAGCTGAGACAGCCACTGCAAAATGTAAATAGAACTTCTTTATCCCTTTGTCCCTGTAAACGTTCCCCTTCCAACTCTTCTATAAACCTCCATGCTCGTCTCTCTCATTCACTGACAAAATAAAGAATACAAATTCTTGATCTGTTCTGAAAACTTGCAGTGTGACCCTACCTCCCTTGTCCTCTTTGTCAGCACACTTTCACCTTGGATCTACAGAAATGTGTGTTGAATTCCTTTAAATTTTTACTACTATTTCTACTCCAGATGCTTCTGTTAGAGCTTTGCTAATTACTATCTTTGTTGTAAAACCCTTTTCCAAGATTTCAATGTGAAGTGTCTCTCTGTCCTTTGGCTTTCAGCTATTTTCCCGTGATGCACTCACTGCTTTTCTTTCATCGTTAGGAGAAAAAGGATGATGTAATATCTCTTTATAACTTCTGCAACACTGCTCATAGAACAGAAGTGCACTTGCAGTACCTACTGATAAAGAAGGAAAATTTTTGTGTTTAAAACTTAGATTTCTTCTGTTAGAAGACTCCTCTGGCCACTCCTATCAATTATTGTTTAAACGTCCATTATCCGTTATGACAGAAAATAGCAGCATTCCTCAGTCTTACAGTGCTGATGATGATTTTTATAAGCTGGAAACTTTAGTGATTTTCAGCATTAGGTACCTATATATATGAAATCGCACTATTATTCTTTTATTACAAGGACACGTGCACATTTGAAACTTCATTTTAAATCAGTCATTCTTTCAGGATTTCACATTAAGGGAAATTGGGAAAATAAAACCCGTGATGTTTTTGATGTGTGCCTTGTTTTTAAGCTGTTGTGGAACAGCAGCATGGCATACCACATAGGTTTAACTTGGGATAAGCTAGCTCTTCATTTGATCAGTTACTCGCTCTATGGCTTTAAACTAACACATATTCCAAGGGGACCATTTAAGAGCCTGGAGAGAAGTGTCCGGTTAGGTTATTGCTCATATTTCTTCAAAACCTGCAGGAACCATAATTGCAGGGTGAGATTTATGTCTTATAGCTCCACATCATTGAGTCATTTTCTATTGGTTATGATTTAAAATTTCTTTTCCTAGGAGAAGTGAAATACTCTAGCACTTAGGTCTCAGGGAGCGGATAATGTCGCTTGGCAATATACCTCTTTATGAAGACCTTTGGATGTCTAGAATTTACTGTTAATGCTTAATGTAAATGGAGTAATACAGTGAGAGTATTGACTTCTAAATGTCTTTTGTTCTTTCAAGGTGGTTTCCAGAAGTGCAGAATATTTATTACCAAGGCAATAAAAAAAAGCAATTGCCAACTGGTGACAGCAGTGCCAAATTGGACTCTTTTTTCAACTGTGCTGCTACACTCATGACCTTACAGCTACAGGACCTGGCTCTGGTCTCCATGCAAGACTTCACAGACCTCATCGCCCAACCCCCAGTAAGTACAGCTCAGCTAGCAGGTGTGCCTCTGATAACTATTTTCAACTCTTTCAGAGAGGAAAATGGCAAGGTAGTGTTTCCAATGAGACGGTGGAATGTGAGTCTTCAGACCTATACCACTTACGTGCCAAACGGTTAGGTCAACTCACACAGTGTGGATAAGATTATCATCACAACGGTGAGGATGTGGGTAAATCTGAGTAAATAGTGGTGAAGTATTGAGTCTCCAGGCTTGGGTAGTGCTTGCTTGAGGAGTCCCTGTTTTTTTCTCTGTAAGGAGACTGTTCCCTTGAGCAATGCCTTGGAATCAGAATGTGCTTGACCATTTAGTTCCCCTCTAGATCCAAGACACACAGTATCCACCAGTTGGGACAGCGATCACTCCTGCGGTCTTTCCAGCAGGTCCCTCTCCTGTTTAGGTGTCTCAGGTACAAGAAAAAGTATGTTCCATGTATTAATTGGGGCCAGCATACTTTTTATTCCCATTAATTGATCTATATTTCTATCTATACCTATGACTATTTATTTATTTATTTATTTATTTATTTATTTATTTATTTATTTTTGTAGGACTCTGTTAGAGCTTTTGAACATCCAGGTTTCATCATGAGGCTGATTCTTGATAATAACAGCATTAAGTTTGAGCCTGAATTTAATGACTACATAGATATCTTTGTAAATGTTTATGAAGTCATGATTAAGGCTGTCAGCTATGTGCCAAGAGTTGAGACAAAATTGTATTCCAAGTGGGTAAGTAACAAGTGCCTTCTGATTGCTTGAGTTTGCATGATACCATTCACTTAAGAACTGCTACCAGGTGTTGACAGAGATCCTCTGCTTCACAGACTATGATAATAATATCAGCTTACAGTAAAGCTGTGGAAGCTGGAGAGATGGCTCAGCAATTAGAACACAGGCTACTCTTCTAGAGGACCAGGGTTAGTTCCCAGCACTTACATGGTCACTTTCAACCTTCTCTAACTCCAGTTCCAGGGAATCCAATCCTCTTTTGTGTCCTCTGCGTGTGCACATGGGGCATAGGCATATGTGAAGGCAAACACCCATATATATATATATATATATATCTCACATCAAAAGAGAAATATTTTCCACTAGGTTCTTTCATAAGATATGCACACTTTTCTAACCTAGTCTTTCACTGAATTCAGCCAAAAACTTTCTGAGGGGCAAGAAGTGAAGAGCTATGATGGAGATTGAATTAGCTGATGAGTGTTGGCTGTATGTCTCATGCCATTTGCTGATTCATGTAATGCTGTCAACATACCCCAGCTCTGTAAAATGGTCCTAGGATTGATGACCTTTCTTATATGCAGTGATTTCTATCAGCATCAAGTTCCCACCTCTGTCCCCATAGATTCTGCCTCAATATTACCTATGTAGCCACTGTGGTTTAGTCCATCACACAGGCATGCTCAATGAGCTATAACTTGCAAGTTTTTTAGGTTTCATAGCTCCAATCAGCAGCTTTCTCTTTCTTTTCTACTTGTAAAATAGCTTGCCCATATTTCTCACATACAAAAAGTATGTCTGTTCACTATTGTTAAAGGCGTAAGTGCCCTCAAGAGTTGGCACCTGAATAGTGGCAGCTCAGCCCATCTTAAGGCATGGAGCATCTCCTAAACACATCTTACTACAATGCTCACATTCATTCCCATCTTAGCTTCCCCGTAATTATACAGGATATGCCTCCTAACAGGGGGGGGAACAAGGTTATGACAATATAGGACAGCATCCTATGGAAATAATAGATTTAAGGCATTGAAAAGAGCTCATAATTGCATATGGATCGCACGCTTTTATGTGAAACAAATTCCAAATAACCTGGCTACTCAAAATAGAGTTATTCCCCAAGGCTGGAAAGTATGTGTGACAGCTGTACTAGAAGTCAGTCCACAGTTGCAATTGTTAACATGGTAGAGGAAAGAAGCCATGAATACTGAACAGCAAAATAGAGCCAGGGGAATGTAATTTTTTAAGCAAAATCTCAGTCATTTGATTTTTACCAATAAAGCCAGATGCTGGGGGTGAAAGCCTGATAACTCAGACAGGCAGAGAAAGCACCCAGCTGACCTTCCTCCTCAGCTGACATCCCAAAAGGAAAAGGAAACTTTAACACTGTCTCAAAGAGCCCTCAGACTGAATGCCCCTCCCTTCTCCTTCCTATGTGTCTTGCCATGCATCCTCCTGACTTCCTCTCACTCTCTATGGTTCTTTCCTCTGCTCACTCCCTCTCAACTGGTTGCTTGCTCCACCACTTGACCTATAGTTGATTTTATTTAATTCAAGCAGAAAACTCTTGGATTACAGATGTGCGCTAGGACTGAGCCATACCACAACTAGAAACAGATTTTTCCAGTAAACAACACAATCTCGAGTTTCACAGTGTGGTCAAATATTCTGCAACAGGAATGAAAATAGTGAAAAATCAGTTGCTGGGTGAAGGGTAATACTCTAATATACAGGAACAGATTCAGTTTCATGATGCTACTATGGAAAAACATGGTTTAGTGGCTTTAAAAACTTGGGACAAACTTGAGGAGCCTGAGAAAGGTTCACCTCATTTACAAAGATTATACAAGGCTCTGGAGAAGCCTTCTCTGATATTTTACAAAGATTAGTCTCAGCTGTGAATAAAGCCATATCAGACTCTGACACAAGACAGGTGTTGATAGAGGCCTTGGCATATGAAAATGCAAATACTGAATACAAAAAGTTATTAGACCATTCAAGGCAAGGCAGTACCTATGGACAAGTGAAAAAAGGCTATGACTGATATTGGTTCTAGCATGTAGCATGCTAATATCATAGAACAAGCAATAGCAGGAGGTTGGCGATATCAAAATGCCTGATGCTTCAATTGCAAGAAGTATGTTCATTTGCAAAGAGACTATGACCAAGCCACTAAAGGTGTGAGATTTTAAAATGCTTGGTGCTTTAACTGTGGGAAATTTGGTCATTTGCAACAAAATTGTGAACAAGGCTTCTCTAAGGGCAATGGTTTTTCTAAATATAAACCAGAAAGAAGGCCTAGGGTTTCAGGGATGTGCAGGTCATGTAGCAAGGGCCAATGAGTGTAGGTCCAAGAGAGATATTCAAGGTAATTTCTTACCTTGGGGAAATGGCCTTGGGGTCATGCCTTGAGGCCCCACAGCAAAAACTATTAATGTTTTTCAGACAAGAACAGATGAGAGTCACCAGGTTATAGAAAAAAAACTGTGGAATTAAACCAACCTATATAGTATATGGATGTGTTAACATCAGAATGGAAACCTCTGAATGTTTTGTGTTGGGAGTGCAGGTTTGTTCATATTTCTACAGAAAATGAAAAGCTGCAGATATCATCAAAACTGATAAAGATTAGAAGTGAGCAGGAGAGGTCTCCTAAAAACCTTGGCCACTGATGCAAAAAAGTGCATAGCTCATTAAAAATGTGTCTTTATAATTTCCCCACTACATCCAGCACGATTAATGGCTTAAAGCAGAAGGGGGAAATATAGTGAGGATTTTGGAATTTTGGTTTCTTTAAAAACACAGAAATAGTATAAGAATATGTGTTTGTTTTAATCCCAGATGTAGGTATATAGGGCTGCTTTGCAACAGCTGACTCTGATTCGCCTCTTTTAGGGGTGTGCTTTTGCCATTTACAGCTAGTTTCTGTGATTGTGTGACATTTGGAATTCTGGGGACTTCTCAGAGGGTATATAAATGCCCTGAGAGGTGGGGAGAGTTGGTTACTGTTGGTTGTGATTTGTTAAGCAGTCATGTACAAAGAAGAAACAGCAACAAGAAGAAATTAGATATCCTGATAGTGAAGATCAAATTTGCCCCAAGGAGACTGATACCCCTAATCAGGAGGAAGTAATCTAATGATAACATAGTCTCCTTTCCTTTCTATCTTTTTTTTTTTTCATAGTGTAAGGGGGTTGAAAGGGAAGAGGAAAGGGGGTGATAAAGGATGGAAGAAAGAATAACCCACAAGGCAGCAAAATGCCAGCTACAAGAAACTATATTCAAATTATATTGCATGAGAAAAGAATCTATGTTTTACAAAAGGGAAAAAAGAATTAAAAAAAATTTCGTTGGGAGAAAAATGTCCCCTTCATAGAGTTTCTATTTATTATTTTGTTTTCTAGGAATTTTATTAATTCTTTGGGCAAACAGATTTGAACATTTTTGATGGTCCTTTCTACTTATTAAGTTTTTTTTTTTTTTATCTTTACACATACTAATTCTTTTCCATTCTCATTTTTAAAATTCCACTGTCTGTGGTCTTGGCCTTTGTGATTCTGCTGTTGGTGGAATCCTACCCATAGTGGCTAATTTTTATCTGGGTTCTTTCTTTTTGTTACTATGGGACAACATGTAAGAACTCATCTTTATGGATGTGGCTTAAGTGGGCCTCTCTGAAATTCTGTAATCATTTGAAAGCTCTGGAAGGCTCAGCTTTGACCAAATGATTCTTGGTTTAATGTTATTTTGGACGTACCGGTTATATGCTTATCCAAGCTGAAGAATAAAATTCTGGCTGTGGACTGTGAGGCCTACTATTTCTTCCTTTCTCAGGCAAAGAACTGACAAATTTCGTACTTTCCTCTTCCTATTCAAGGGTTCTATCTCCTTTCAGTTTTAGTTTTGCCAAGGTCTGTCTCCTGATAGTCCTGCTTTGCTCTATTCTGAGGCTTTGTGCTCTGATTGTCAGACTCCTGCCCTTCTCTCTTTGCTGGGGAGTCAGAGCAGAGCTTTGGCCACAAAGATGAATGAAGTCTGCAGGCATCTGCCCACTGAAGCACACAGTTCCCTCTCTAAATTGGTTTCTTCCATCTTGGCCCCATAGACTCCCCCCTTATACTTTGATCTCTTGGCCATGCATTGGAAGAGACAAATTTAGTGATTTCCTTAAATAATGTATGTATTCTGAAATAGTTGTTTTCTGCTTATCAGTTCTTCATAGTCAACATTTGGAAGTCTGTCAATATTCACTGCTTGCTTTGCCTTTGCATAACCCCAGCTCATTCATCACATTCATTTCTATTACCTTACCTTTTATCAAGAATGGAAAATGTCAGGTTAGCTTATGAAACACACAGATATAGCAACTTAATAAGATAAGAATTACCAAGCTCTAAGTACTGATTACAATTACCCAAATGAACTCTACTGCTATGATTTTATTGTTATAAAGGATGATTCTTCCCTTCCTGGTGCTTAAAGAGAATATTTGATGAGTTTAAATTAGTATGAAAGTATGTAATTTAGACTTTTCAAGGAGAGAATGATATTTATTCTGACATCATATTTTTAGAACTAGGACTTGCATGAGGCACTGTATATATGTGGGTAATTGTCAGCCTTACTTGGTCACATTTTAAAAATTAAAATTCTGGGGTTCATCATGATCACCACCTCTAGTTGTCTCTAGGTGATTTCAGGGTCAGCTAGATTTCAAAATAAATTATAAAAGTACTTTGAATAAAATAATTACATAGTGTCTCACTTACCTTTGGCAGTAAATGCAGAAGCAGATTCATATTGCTGTTCATTATTATATTTGATAGGAATGGAAAATAGATTAGAATATACCTTTATTTCCCATGGAAGGCAAGCCAGTAAGGGCTAATGCACCATGAGTCCAAGCTCATAACTGTATCACGATCTAATTTGATATTCTTTGAACACCTGAGGTATCACACAGAATATCATTTTTCTTAACTCTCAATGAGTACTAATTAAATTTAATATTAGAAACTTTCTAAGGTGCTGCTCAGTCTGAGAATCTAATTATGTCTAGAAAGATAGCTCTATTTTAGAAGTTAGACAAGCTGCTAAAAATGTAAGAAATACTCTATGATGAGAATCAATCACTGACAAGAACCCACAAATCCACCTTGCACCCAGCCCAGCCCAGCCCAGTGTATGGAATGCATTATTCTAAATGCTGTTTTGTTGAAGAGGCAATGCCAAGTGTCTCTCTGAGCTCAGGAATGAGGGGCCCAAAGAGGTGACAGCATCGGTAGTATTCCTATGAGGAATCTATCTTTAAGCCAGATGATCTTGTCCCAGGTCCCAAGACCCTTTATACATTTTACTTTTACATTTCATGTTGACAAATCTTTTAGAAACTACAGCTGTGACGCCAGAATGTGCTCAGTAAGGGGCGTAGCAGTCAAACACTCACTGGGATAACTAAGGCAGTGCGACGAATTCCAGCGTCGTCAAACACCTACCACAGACTGTGATCTCTGCTCATTACAAGTTTAAGTCCCTCCTCCTGGATGGCAGAGTATAGATGTTTCTCAGGGTAATCACGTAGATTGTAAGCTATGTCAGCATACTTATTCATCCTCTTATTCGCAAAGGGAAAGAGTCACACCGTTTAAAATCATGGTCTCGTCCACGGTTGCTCACTGTTGGTATAGCTGTGGTCGCAGAATAGGAAGGTGGCAGCCAAGAATCAGCACCACAGACAGCGAGTGGCAAGCTCTCTGTGGTTTGAACACATTTCTCCGCGTTGTGAACAGGTTCTGTGACTGAGGAACATGATGGTGGGACTCTGAACAAAGCATTTTCTTTTCAAGAGTGCAGGCCAAGGCCAACCTTAAAAAGCTAGTGCAACTATGTGTGGGGGCTTTGCTGTTTTGTGTGCCAGGTCTTATTTTGCATGAACTTTCGAATGACCATTTTCTCAACCTTACTGAAAGAAAACCAAACAGCTAGGCATTAAGGAAAAAAAATTACCCAAAACCTGCAGCTTACAACACTCCTCAGGTTAGATTGAACATATTTCTATAGATTAGAGACTGGTAAATCACAACAGTTTATGAGAAGAAAAGGCAATATAATAAGATTGACACTTTCATGAAGATAATATAATAGGGCTAGTTTAGCTAAAAGTGATACTGTTTTCCTTCTTTGCTTAGGAAAGTAAATCTAAACCAACAACCTTGAAGCCCATAATTCTGCGGGAAATTATAGACGCTCATAAAGAAAAGATTAAGGAGGTGGTGTTACAAGAGAGCGTGGCGCCCACGGAGCACCTCAAGCTGTACGACAAGTATCAGTTCTTGGTTACCAAAAAAGCCGAGCACGACGTTGACAACTTCCTGTTACAGACTCAGAGCTATGAGAAACTAATAGAGGAAATTCGCTATTACCAGAAACTAATGGAAGAAATTCAGTATACGTCTCAAAAGGTAATGGCCCTTTCCTGTATGACTCTGGTCTGAAGCAAACGGTCTGTTCTCGGGTGTATTAATGTCTAGTGTTAGAACCCACAGTGACAAAATCAGAGGGCTGTCGACAGGTCCATACTCACAGAATACGTGACACATGCCATGCACTGTGTGGACCTCAGTATAGGGCAGCTAGGACACACACACACACACACACACACACACACACACACACACACACTCATATACCTGCGATGCCATGTACCTCATCTCCTCCCAGGTCCCAAGACCCTTTATACATTTTACTTTTGCATTTCATGTTGACAAATCTTTTAGAAACTACAGCAGTGACGCCAGAATGTGCTCATTTCCATTCCTGAGGGTCGTAGAAACTTAAATGTCCTGTCTCAGCCTCTTTATCGAAAACATCCTTTAATTTTTCTGCCATAGCCACAAATTACTTCTTAAATACAGAACAAATGACATATTTGAAACCCCTCTTCCTGCTGGGTTTGGTAGGTACACACCTGTAATGCCAGCACTCGGGAGGCAGAAAGACAGCAAGTTCATGGCCTGTTATTCTGGACTATCAAGCAAGACAGTGTCTAAAAACAAACAAAACAAAATTAAAAAATGAATTCAATTTTTATCTACTTAGCAACAACCTAATTTCCTAAACTTTAAAAATCTACTGTTGTTATTCTGAAATAGAGTCCAAGATAACAAACTTCAAGGATATTTATTCACAAGATGGTTGTACAAAAACAAAGTGTGTGTGTGTGTGTGGGGGGCGAGGTATGTATCAGAAACTCCCTGCTCCTCACATGTGAATTTGTTATTTTCTGATGTTTGTTTTTGAGACAGCATCTTGCCTTTAGCCCAGGTTGCACTGCAACTAAGGGTGTAATCCTGGCTTACCTCAAACTCACTCAGTCCTCCTGATTTTGCCTCCTGGGTACATGGAGTTCTAGACTTGAATCACCATGCCTGGTTCAACCGTTTAAAACCAAAACTAAAAACTAGAAATCTCAAAACTTAACCTTGTTGCACTGCACACACACAAATCAGAGACCAGAGAATGGCAAAGTTAAGAGGGTCTCTTACTTACTCTTATTTCTATTTGTGTTTTTTGAATCTTCTCTCCTTGCAGACTGTCCGCTTGGGAATGTTTGAAATGCACTGTGAGGAACTGATCAGAGCTTTGGTGAAGCGGGCAGATGTCATCTGTGGGAGACTCATAGCCAAGATGTTCCGTGATCACCAGGAAGTAAATACAAGGTACGCAGGTGCCACCGATTATGTTTGTGTTGTGGGAGGGGCCGCCCAGCTACAGAAGTTGGTTAGAAGTGTCCTGCGTCATTCAAAACAAAGAATTATGCTAAGCTTATTTCTACAAGAGTGACATTTTTGTGATGCAATTGTCAGTATGATTTCTTTCCCAAATGTGCCTTTCCAATTGTCTAAATTAATTGTAGCATTAAAATGTGCTTTCATTCTTTTGCACAAGTCAGGGAGACATTCTCTTCATATTTTAACATTTATGTAATCTATGTATAAATTAGTTTGTATAGGAGCTATTGATGGATTCTAAAGAGTTGTTAAATTTGGAACTTCATCATACTATCATTATTCTTTAAGGCTTTGGCAATTTATCTTTTTTCTAAGATTTTAAAATTATTTTTAGAGGGAGTGGGATACAGCTGGGATACAGAGTTAATAAAATGTAACTAATAAAAAATAAAGAAAGAAAAAAATTAAAAAAATATTTTTAAAAACTTGTTTATGAGCCACCATGTAGTTGCTGGGACCTGAACTCAGGACCTCTAGCAACAGCAGCCAGTGCTCTTAACCTCTGAGCCATCTCTCCAGTAACCACGTTGTTAGCTTAACTGGAGGATGATTTGTTAAGTAAACAGGGTGTGGGGGTAGGAAAGCTGGCTAGTCTGAACGCAGAGAATACCAGTCAGGCAAACCTAAATGCCAGCTTGTCTCTGTCAAGCAGCATGATTAGTGTAACTGGTCCCCCAACAGAGATCCTCTTTTCTAACCCAGCAACAACTAGAACATTCTTTGTGTGAGGGTTTTTTTTTTGTGTGTGTGTGTGGTTTTTTCCCCCCTTTGGTTTTTTGTAGACCAGGCTGTCCTTGAACTCAGAGACCTGTCTGTCCCTGCCTCCCAAGTGTTGGTGTTGCAGGTTTGTGCCAGCAGTCCCAGCTCTTGTGTGGTTGTTGAGGACAGTGTCTTCCTAGATCCTTGGGCTGGCCTGCAAAACACGACAGTCCAAGTACTCAGCTCTCAGTACTCTAGTGGGGTCACAGATGTGAGCGACCATGTCTGCAAACAGAACGTTTCTTTATCAGAGAAAATCAAGACCTTTAGAACACACGTAGAAGCCTGAAGGAAGCTTCACTCACCTAAGCTGTGCTCTAAGTTATGAATGAAATGTGCGGAGAGAAGCGACAGTGCAGACATGGAAACAAAGGACAAAGTACTAAATTCTAATAGGGTGTAGTAAGGTCTCAGACGTCGAGCAGGGGAAAAGACAAAGTGCTTTCGCAGTGTGTTGCTGGGAGGAGGAGAGGCAGCAGGGGAGGGCTGCACAGATAAACGGAGTGGGAATTTCCTTTGAAGGATGAGTCTGCCAGGAGAGCAGGGCAGAGAGCGACTCTCAGCAAGCGGGAATTGGTCCTGTGTATCCACCAGGAGGAGTGGGTTGCCTTGTTTCCATGGACAGGGCTGGGGTGGGGCAGAAGGGGGCTCTAGTGAGAAGAAGGCCGAAGAGGGAGGCACCAGGAGAAGGGGCTGGGCTTTGGGGAGCGTCTCCAGGAACCTCGCTGTATTTTCAGTTTACAGCACTGTTCACTCTAGAAGTACTGAGGAACAGTGGACATGTTTTCTCTTGGCGGTGGTTGGCAAAGCATTTACTTTAATTGTACTGTAGCTCAGCCCCTTCTTACAACCCATGAGCTCATGGCAGCTGACTTTCTCCCCCCATTTGTTTTTAATGACTCGCTGGGTGTGCAGGGGGCGCAGGAGAGCCTTGCAGGAGCTCCTGGACAGGGGTGACTCCGCCTCTTTTTGTCTCCACCTCCCCTCAAAGCTCTACACAGTGCTGTTACCTGTTCTGTCTCTCGGCCTGCCAGGTCCACGCCATGGCCTATTACCTTCATCCTTTATGGCACGCCTGTCCTTCTCTGTTGATTTTGCCACCGAGGTTTGCAAACATGGTCAAAACATCTGACTTCCAGCCCCACTTTCAGCTCAGCATGGTCCACATGCTCTTCCTCCAGACAATTTTTGTGAAGATTTTTTTTTTTTCTGAATTTCCTTGCATCCAAATGGTGTTCTTTCTTTCCAACCCCAAGTTTGTTCGTTTTTTTTTATTGTCCACAACCCAGACCAGTAGGAAGTACTGGCATATGCCTGACATTTTTGGGCCACAGGCCTGTTTTCTTTTCTTTCTTTCTTTTTAAATCTTTCGTTGTAAGAAGAGTCAGTTACTCCCTTCTTTGTACCATTCCCTGGGACTGACACAGGAACCACTCCATGAAGGAACTGTCTCTGGCATCCAACTGTGAGCTGCTTGGGGGTCATTATAAATTTTTTTTGCATCTCATTCAATGCTATGGCTTGGAATATGACAGGTAATCATTAAATTAATATTGAACCAATAAGTAAATGAACACAATTCTGTATTTAAGTTATTAGATGTCATACAGATAAATCACATTTTACTTTCCATGCAATGGAGCTTTAAGTAATAAATATTGTGAAATTAGATCATAGATTCGTTAAGACTGATTTTTCTGCTGTTTCAGACTGTGTGACGAGTTTGAGAAGATAGCTGAAAAAGCTCTGAGCACACCTCCAAACACAGCTGAGCTCATGGAGATGAAGGTATCATTGAGGAGCCTGTGTCAGTGTGCACAGAGAAACAGATCATTCTGGAGGTTAAGACAGAGGATTGCATTCATCGGGATGTTTTAAATGTTTCCTTCACAAGCCTGCTGTGTGGTGCTTCAGGCTGGCCTGTCCTGGACGCTGTTTCTGGCCTCTGTGTGCCACTCTATCGGGCCACCAGTTAGTATGCACCGAGTTTGTTCAGCTGGCTCTCAGTTGAGTTGGCTGCTGTAAATATTCCTTGGCAATTGACTCTGCTTCATTTGCCTCTCAAGCTCCAGTAGCCTTCCTGCACAGTAGATACTCAGGCTTGCTTACTATATAAGTAATATTCTGCTGGTGTTACATTAGCTAATACCTCACTGACCAAACCAGGTCAGAGTGAGAGGACACAATAGGGCATGGATAGTGAAAGGTATTAGAGCAATGAATGCAGCCATCTGCCAGGATGTTCTTGAGAACGTTTATAATCAGCACGGTGCAAGCAGCCATTGCCAGGACTGGTCATGGTAACCTGAGATGTGCATTCACTTCTCATTTTAATCAGCAGATATTCAGTCCTTACACACTATTCTGTGTCTGAAAAGGCTGTGTTTTGCGATATGCTAACACCTTCTCTGATGGTCTGCTAAAATGTTTCCAGCATTGAGTCCTTCTATTTTCACATTAGTTATTTTTCTAGTTACTTCTTTTAACTCCATCTCAAGGCAGATAAAGTAATATAAAATAATTAATAGCAGTTCCATTTTTTTCTTATATCATCTACCTTTTATGGGATATGGATCTTCTGTTTGTTTGTTTGTTTGTTTTAATTTTTTAGAATTCCCCAAATCTGAATTAGAACCCTTTTAAAGATGTTTCACTGAGCTGGGCTCGGTGAAGCACACCTGTAATCCCAGCACTTGGGGAGGCAGAGGCAGGTGGATCTCTGTGAGTTCAAGACTAGCCTGGTCTGCAAAGTGAGTTCAGGATAGCTAAGGCTACACAGAGAAACCCTGTCTCAAAACCCCCAAAACCAGCCACCCCTTGGAACAAAAAAAATGAAAAAATATTTAACTGAACCTGGAAATGTGTAAAATCATTCAACATTCTTTATGTATAAAATTTATAAAAAGAATTCAAATGGTGACATGTACATATTCTTCAAGTTACTGCTTAAACAAAATTTATTAAAATGATTGGAACTAAATTTTTCATCTATTTTTTATTTTACTCAGAGAACACTTTCCCAGGCTCATACAGTCTTGGGGGACATTTTTATGTTTTGTTAGTTGTTATCTGCCACCAATTCTTTGGCTGATAGTAAGTATAAACCATCCCTGTGCCATGCTTTCCTCTTTTCCAGAAGAGAGTCTTGTGGAAAGATGAGTATTAATTATGAAGAGTACCATCTGTTCATCTTCCTAGACATTACTGGCTTTAAGAAGTTGGGTTCAATATGAGTTTCTATTGTGTATAATAATCTTTAACAAAATTAGCAAATAAGATTCACTGTTTGGTATTAAAAATATTTCTGCATCTTAAAAAGTTTATTCCAAAAAGGGCAAACCATACGATAAATCTGGTCAGTACAGAAAAAAAAAATCAGTCATTTATTTTAAATAAAGAAAAATATGAACCCAGTCACTGGGCTCTATAGGAAACAGATTCGCTAAGTTTAGACATACGTATTTTGACTAGACATTCATTACTTGTGAAAATGATAGTCTTTAAATCAGTCTATTGCTTATGTGTTGGGACATTCTTGGTTGTGTGTTTTTATCTTGTAGCCATACATCCTAGATTCATTCTGAAACCTCTGTGACATTTTTTTAATGTTTTTTTTTTATTATTATTAGTTACATTTTATTAACTCTGTATCCCAGCTGTATCCTGCTTCCTCATTCCCTCCTAAACCCTCCCTCCCTCCCTCATCTCCACCCTGCCCCTTTCCAAGTCCACTGATTGGGGAGGACCTCCTTCCCTTTCATCTGACCCTGTTTTATCAGGTATCTTCAGGACTGGCTGCAAAGTCCTCCTCTGTGGTCTAGCAGTACTGCTCCTCCCTTGGGGGGTGGGGAGGTCAAAGAGCCTGCCATTGAGTTCCTGTCAGAAATAGTACCTGTTCCCCTTACTATGGGAAACCAATTGGTTACTGAGCTACCACAGCTTCATTCCAGCAGAGGTTCTAGGTTATATCCGTACATGGTCCTTGGTGGAGTGTCAGTCTCTGAAAAGACTCCTGTGCCCAGATATATTTGGTCCTTGTGGAGCTCCTATCCTTTCCATGTCATACTAACTCCCCTTCTTTCATATCATTCCCTGCACTCTGCCGAAGGTTTGGTTATGAGTCTTAGTATCTGCTTTGATACACTGCTAGGTAGAGTCTTTCAGAGACCCTCTGAGGTAGGCTCCTGTCCTGTTACTTGTTTTCTCCTATGTCCAATGCACATCCCATTTGTCTTTCTAAGTGAGGATTGATCATCTTACCCGGGGTCCTCTTTCAACCTCTGTGACTTAATCAATGTTTTCTCCCATGCAAGCAAGGTAGTTTTGTGATAAACTTTGACTAGGTACAGCCTTCCTTCTTTCATTGGTTTGGGCAATTGACTAGAGCCCAGAAGGTCCTGTGGGATCTTAGTTCAATTTAAAATCACATTCTCCTAGGGAGATAGCCCAGCTACTAAGAAAGCATGCTGCTCTCGGAAAGGGCCTGGGTTTGGTTCCCAGCACTCACTTTGGGTTGCTTGCAACCACTGGCAACTCCAACTCCAGAGCATCAGAGGCCCTTTTCTGGCCTTTATGGGCAACTACACTCATGTGACTTTAACCTTCCCCAAGGCCTGTGCATATACATAGTTAAAAACAACAAGTCTTTAAAAGTAAGCATCCTCCCTTGGTGCTCTGCTGCAGCCCTGGCATCATTCAGACCCTCACGCAAGCTTCCTCTTGCCACTGGGGCCACACTCGTTCCCCCTTCTTTCCCCTCCTTCCACCTGTTATATCTCGTTACCTCTTCCACATGTGTTTGTGAAAGCTGCTGTTTGTGTCTGCCTGCCTCAGGACTCTGTGACATGCTGCAAGCAGCAGCAGGACCCGCATTGCAGCATGGTCTGTGTCAAGAGTTTGCATTTTCACTTCTTTGATTAATAACCATCCCTCTCATTAGATGGATAACTCCAAGAAGGTAAAAGCCATGTCTGCTTCATGGTCACTTCATTGCCAGCACCTGGCAAATGCAGCAAGCACATATCTGGTGCCCCAAAGCATGACACCGAAAGAATCACAATAGCTCAGGAGGTGTCTGATCATCCTGCACAGCATTCTTCCTGCTCACCCACTGGTTTTTTTGTTTTGTTTTGTTTTTTTTAAATGTGGTGTTAAGTCTCTTCTCACATGTCTTTTTTCCTTTCTATTGTAGTGAAGTGGTTGGTGTGGTTGAGAAGTAAATTGTGCTGAGGTCCCCAGGTCTGAGCCACATTTTTCTGTATTTGTGCAGTGTGTTCTCCAAAGAGCCTGTTTGGTAAGAGCTCACCCTTACAGTGCTGTCTGGAATCTGTAACCTTTGTTTTCCTGCAGGCTTACATTCAGAAAGTGGAGTCAACTGAGATGATGGAGCTGGAACAGAGATTAGTGGATTCTAAGAACTGCCTGGCCTTCCTCATTGAGTGCATCAACTTTTCTCCTGCAGACATTAGACTAAATAACAGTGTTTTCCAGTGGTATGCCAGAATGGGAGAAATTTTTGAAGAGCATAGGAAAATCATCAAAGATAAAACAGAACAGTATCAAGAAGGCCTTAAGGTTGGCATTGTAGATTTTTCAAATTACTCTCATTTACTGCAAATATTTAATTTCTAACTCTTTGCACAGTGCTATGGACACCTTTGTTACATGCATGTAGCTTTCTCCTGTCATCTCAGTAGAAGAGTGAACACATATTGGATCTCTTCTAATGGATGATTAAAGAGTGATTCCACAATGCACTAATCGATGTGGGATCATTTCTTGATTTTTCTTTTCTTTCTTTTCCCGCATTCAACAAATATTATTTATGAAAGTTTTCCAAATGTTTTTTTGGTATCTAGTAACAATGCAGAAATAAGAGAAACTACAATAGTCCTGTGAATACAATTACCTGGTCAGAAGCTGCCTATACAAGTATAACAATTTCCTCCCTCTCAGCCGGAAATGACCAAGATTATCCCTGAAGGCAGTTTTGGAGATGGCTTAACAACCTAGAGGTAGACTCAGAAAAATCGTGGGGCCAGTGTCACTGACTAACTTTATCTGCCTCTCAAAGTTTGCTGCCTTTGCCTTCTCTCCCTCTTACCTTCCTCTTCCTCCCCGAACCTCCTCAGGCTTAATTGAGGAAGAAAATTTAGTCAAGTTGAAAACCAGACATTTGCAGAGCAGACAACACACTGTGCTTTCTCTCTTGAAGAAACATCTACAAAGGTTTCTTTTCAGAAATGTGCCCAATTTGGAGTTTTCAGCCTCAAGAGTGTTAGTGTTTTAACTATGTTGGAGAAAAGGACACTTTTAACTAATTTAAAAGGTGGTGTTTCAACTATGTGGGGAAAGAAGGAAGAAGCATGGGAATCTGTTAGCATTGGTGCCATGGTGTCAGGACTGAGAGGCTAGAGGGCTGGAGTCCTGGCTCCACTACTTTGAATTTGTAATCCCAGAAGGTAATTTTTTACTTTTCTTTTTCATTTTCCTCCCCACCCCTTTGGTCTGAGCTTGTTTTCTGGTCAGTGAAATGGAAGCATACTTGCCTGGCCCTCAGGATAGTTTGGGGTTAAGAGAATAAAATGGTGAAGCTGTTTTCTGGGGTTATTAGTTCTAACCAAAATGTCACGAATGCAAAGCGCCAGAAAGACGATGGGATTCTGTAAAGTAGCTAGCATATAACACAGGGGAATGGAAAGGACTCCAGCCTGACAGACATGCCTGGGAGACAACTTTTTTTCTCATTCACCAGCTTGTATCTCCTTCTCTAAACAAAAAGAAGGCTAATTGGATCAAAGCAGCTCTTGAGATGTAAAATCAGATTGTTTTCTCCCTGTTGTTTGAATTTTGTCCACATGTACCAAAAAACTTTTTTTTTTTTTTCCACATGTACCAAAAAAGTGCCCGACCTAGTATTTTTTCCCTAGTAGGTTTGTAGTTTACCTCGGCCGGCTGTCTAGCCCAGCCTCCTGCCTTTTGGCAAACCCCTGACATTGTTAACTCCAAGAATCTTGTAGTTCTCTGCTCTATATGTTTCTCACGTCCGTCTTGCACACTGTAGTACTCTGTCCCGACCCACGAAGTTACACTCAGCTGGTTTTCCTGAGCTGCCCCTAGACCTCAGGTGAATTCTCCATTTCTCTGATTGCACCATTTAACACGCATGCGCTAGACTCAACCACTGCAGTTGGTTTCCGGTTTATCTGCCGCTGGCTGGTCAGCTCCCGAGAGCTTCATTTTTATTTATTATCTGTTGCTATTCCACGGACTAGCACGGTGACTGACCCATGATGTCTCAGCCCATTTCGTGCTGCTACAACGGAAGAGCCGTGCTTGGGTAATTTAGAAGAGCATAAGTTTATTAACATTTCTGGAAGCTGAGAAGCCCAAATTCAAGAGACCAGCGTCTGCTGAAGGCCTTCCTGTATCATACATTGGCTCAAAACGGAAGGCAAGCAATTATGAGGGCACATTCAAAAGAAAGAGTGACCGAGAGGAAAGGAGGAAAAGAAAGTTGCCGAAGCCACTCTTCTCCTAGGAGCCCACTCCTGTGCTACCTTGCTTCTGTGATAACAGGATTACTGTGTAGACGAGGCCAGCACCCTTTAGACCCTGCTCACTCTTAGCCTTCCATTTCTCACCATTTTTATTTCCAGTGCATGAACACGGGACACCTTCAAAGCACAGCTTTCAGAAGGCCATGAGCACTGTACAGATTAAACAAATTTTTTCAGGTTAAAAATTTTCAGTTTTATTTTATAGAAGAAACTGAAATTCTTAATTTTGACTTAGATCGGCCAGTTAAGATGTTCTTTGAACACAAGCTACCTGTTTTTCTATCACACCAAAGAAGACTTAAAAATGTTTATTTTTCTTTTCTTAATTTTTAAAATTTAAATTTACTTTTTATTTTTAAACTATGGCTGATACTTTTATTTTACAACTAGGCTATTTACAACATTATAAACGTGGAAAACATGAACAATGAATATTAGATACTTAAATCATAAAATAATTGATTCTTAGAAAATTTGTAGGTGGCCCAGAATTATCTGTACTTCATTATAAAGTGTCCTATTTCAAAAATCTACACACAATATTGATGCAGTTTTCTTTTTATTTTCCTTTACCCATTAAGTTAGAACAATGAATTTATTTACTGAGAAAAGAGGACAGAAATCAACGTAGCATCTATGGAATAAAAAAAAAAAAAAGATCCTATTTTTGAATAACCTAGATTTGACTTTTGAATATTTCATTAATAGATATTTTTAGAACCATTTAATTTTGGGATAGCTCGCCAGTGACAGTTTTATAATAAGTATTTTTTATATGAAGCACACACATCTGTTTTATTTTGGAGTATTAAAATTTTAATATTTCACACCTGGATTTATTAGCTTCACACATTTCTTGTTGTGAGTGCTCATGGGAAACAGCAATAACTTTGGGATATCTTGATTCAGTGTTGCTAATTCAAGAGATGCCGCCGCAGCAGCAGAACTGAAGACGTTCAGTTTTTCACATAATGGAAATGACACCGTTCATTGTGTAGTCCTTAAAGAAATTAATCTTTCTTCTAGCCCTATCCCAGTTAGTTATTAGGAGCTTTTCAAATGCTCAGTCATTTGTTTGCATCAATTTTTTCAACATACTAAAGATAATAATTTTAACACATTTTTAGTGAATGAATCCGAACTTCTTATGTTGTTTAGGGCCAACTTATAAACTAGGGAACTAGAGGAATTTTGGTCTTAATTTTAAATTTAATTTTTTTTTACCATTCTATTTATTTTATTTTATTTTTAATTAATTCAATTTATATCTCCATCATAGGCCCCTTCCTCCTGTCCTCCCAGTCCCACCCACCCTCCTTCATCTCCTTTCCCTTATTCCTCAGAATAGGGGAGCCCCCTCCCGACCCAGACACCCCAGCACATCTATTCACATGAGGACTGTGGTCTGGTAGGGAAGTCCAATCAGGGGGAAGTAATCAAAAAGCAGGCAACATAGTCTGTGTCAAAGATATCCCCCACTCCCTTAACTAATGGGCCCACATGAAGCCTAAGATGCCCATTGAGCTTATCTTCTTGGGGTCAATGCACTGTAGTATGTCTATCCTATACTATATGACCCAAATCCGCTTGTAAGTGAGTATATACCATGTGTGTCTTTCTGGGTCTGTGTTACCTCACTCAGGATGATCTTCAGTCATCTTTTAGATTTCCCTCTTTATATTTTTGTCATGAAAAAATATAATAATTTTGATAAGCCTTTCAAATACTTAAATGTTTTTCTTGGTGCCCAGGGGTTTTCATTTTTAAGAATAGTAAGCATGGGTATTGTTTTTCGTAGTTGCGGTGTGAGCGGTTTCTGGAGGAATTGGAGAGTTACGCTAAACAAGCCGAGGAATTTTATACATTTGGAGACCTGCAGGATGTACAGCGGTACCTGAAAAAGGCCCAGGTGCTGAACAGCAAGTTGGATGCAGCAGCAGACAAGGTACAATTAAAATCTCTAAAGGATGAGGTAATTCAAGGAAAAGAGATTGTGTTTGTATTGAGCATTCACTTTTAAGCAATAGATTCATCCAGGCATGGCGGTACATGCCTCAGTACGGAGGCAGCAGGATTGCAAGTCTGAAGCCAGCCTAGGTGACAAAGTGAGACATTGTTTAAAAAAAGAAGAAGAAAAAGAAAGTGGATAAAACAGTTGAATTACATTAAACAAGAGAATAATGGAAGCAATCCGCATTTCTAGTCGTGCTTCAAGGAGAAGCACCAGCGTGGTTCTCTGTGGGTGGCGATGTGTTTCTGCGGTCCTCAGCTTTTATTTTAAAGATAGAGTTGTTATCTCTGCCACCTTGTCACACATTGCATCATTTAATCATCTGCATCACAGTTGATGTACAATAATCATCAGAGAAGCACGTACATGATAGCATGTGATTGCCGCTTAGTTTTTGTGTATTCGTAGATGCCGCTTAGATTGGGCAGCTGTTTCCAGATTGGACCCATTACTTCCTCTCACTGAGCCAGTGTGTTACCATGAGGCGGGGTCAGAGTCAGCTTTCACATTAGAAACCCTGGAAGAGGAAAGCTATCCCCTTCCCCACACATTGCAATTTTCCTTATACTTTATGATGGGAACAAACTACTTTTCTTACATTAGAAGACCTGAATGTCTGCTTAGGTAATTAAATAGTTTGCAATTACTTCAAATAGGTCAGGCACACATAATAAAAAGAAATAAACTTTGAAGTCGGTTTATAACTGGGGGTCACTGAATTCTATGTCTCCTGATTAATTGCCATGTCCAACTGCAACCTGCCAGTCGTGTAGATTGCACAGCCCTCTTCTTCACAGAGGTCACAACTAAGAGAATATGCTTCCTCTGCCTCTTGCTGTTCATCCTGAACTGTGGTCTGCTAGCTTCTACTCCATGACAGACCGGTGACTGTCCTGTACACTTCTAACACACAGCATATACATATCTATACATAACATTACATATGTGTTAAGTAGCTACTGGTCTGCAACATTTCTCCTGTTTGCTTTAACTTAGTTTTGGATGACTTGTTTTTGTATTTCTACCTACATAGGAAGTGGTGCCTTCCTGAGCTGCGTCTTGGATTCTTAGGAATCCAACCCCCTTTTCTGTCTTCCACAGTATCTAACACAGTGATGTCAATATTCAAAGCACTTGAATGCTTTCTTTTTTAAAAATGTGTTTATTTTTATTAATTACAATTTGTTCACTTTATATCCCAGCTGTAGCCCCTCCCTCATCCCCTACCAATCACACCCTCTCTCGCTCTTCTTCTCCCAAGCTCCTCCCTAAGTCCACTGATAGGGGAGGACTTCCTCCCCTTCCCTCTGACCCTAGTCTATCAGTTCTCATAAGGACTGGCTGCATTGTCTTCCTCTGTGGCCTGTAAAGGCTTTTCTCCTTTTAGGGGCAGGTGCTCAAAGAGCCAGCCACTGAGTTCATGTCAGAGACAGTCCCTGTTCCTCTTACTAGGGTACCTACTTGGACACTGAGATGCCATGGGCTACATCTGTGCAGGGGTTCTAGGTTATCCCCATGAATGGTCCTTGGTTGGAGTATCAGTCTCAGAAAAGACCCCTGGGCCAAGATATTTTGGTTCTGGTGTTCTCCTTGTGGAGCTCCTGTTTCCTCCAGATCTTTCTATCTCCTCCTTCCTTTATAAGATTCCCTTCACTCTGCCCAAAGGTTTGCTATGAGTCTCAGCATCTGCTTTGATACCCTGCTGGGTAGAGTCTTTCAGAGGCCCTCTGTGGTAGGCTCCTATTCTGTTCCCTGTTTTCTCCCTCTTCTGATGTCCATCCCATTTCCCTTTCTGAGTGAGGATTGATCATCTTAGCCAGAGTCCTCCTTCTTGCTTAGCCTCTTTAGGTGTACAGATTTTAGTATGTTTATCCTATATTATATGTCTAATATCCACTTATAAGTGAGTATATACCATGTGTGTTTTTCTACTTCAGGGATACCTCACTCAAGATGATCTTTTCTAGATCCCACCATTTGCCCTCAAATTTCATGTTTTCCTTGTTTTTAATTGCTGAGTAGTATTCTGTTGTGTAAATATACCAGTATCAGTTCTTCAGGTGAGGGATATCTGGGTTGTTTCCAGATTCTGGCTATTATGAATAAAGCTGCTATGAACATGGTTGAACATATGTCCTTATTGTGTACTTTTGGACATCTTTTGGATATATGACTAGGAGTGGTATAGCTGAATCTTGAGGTAGCACTATCCCTAATTGCCTGAGAAAGCACCAGATTGATTTTCAAAGTGACTGTATTTTGGAAATTTTCACCAGCAATGGAGGAGGGTTCCCCTTTCTCCACATCCTCTCCAGCATGTGTTGTCGCTTGAGTTTTTGATCTTAGCCATTCTGATGGGTGTAAAGTGAAATCTCAGGGTCACTTTGATTTGCATTTCCCTGATCACTAAGGACATTGAACAATTCTTTAACTGTTTCTCTGTCATTCGATATTCCTCCATTGAGAATTCTCTGTTTAGCCCTGTACCCCATTTTTAATTGGATTACTTGATTTGTTGCTGTTTAACTTCTTGAGTTCTTCCTATATTCTGGACATTAGCCCTCTGTCAGATAAAGGGTTGGTGAAGATCCTTTCCCAATCTGTAGGCTGTCGTTTTGTTCTGAAGACAGTCTCCTTTGCTTTACAGAAGATTTTCAGTTTCATGAGGTCTCATTTATTGATTGTTGATCTTAGAGCCTGTGCTGTTGGTGTTCTGTTTAGAAAGTTGTCTCCCGTGCCAATGAGTTCAAGGCCCTTCCCTGCTTTTTCTTCTAACAGGTGTAGTGTATCTGGTTTTATATTGAGATATTTGATCCACTTGGACTTTAGTTTTATGTAAAGTGATAAATATGGATCTATTTGCATTTTTTTTACATGTAGACATCCAGTTAGACCAGCACATTTGTTGAAATGCTATGGTTTTTCCATTGTATGGTTTTGGCATCTTTGTCAAAAATCAAGTATCTGTAGGTGTGTGGGTTTATTTCCAGGTCTTCTATTTGATTCCGTTGATCCACCATTCTGTTTCTATTAGTGGCTATTGTAAAGGGTGTAGTTTCCCCAATTTCTTTCTCAGCCCTTTTGTCTTTTGTATGCAGGGAGGATACTGATTTTTTTTTTTTGAGTTAATTTTGTATCCAGCCACTTTGCTGAAGGTGTTTATCAGCTGAAGGAGTTCCCTGGTTGAATTTTTAGGGTCATTTATGTATACTATCATATCATCTGCAAATAGTGATACTTTGACTTCTTCCTTTCTGATTTGTATCCCCTTGATCTCCTTTAGTTGTCTTATCACTCTAGCGTGGACTTCAAGAACTATGTTGAAGAGATGTGGAAAGATTGTCCCTGATTTCAGTGGGATTGATTTATGTTTCTCTCTGTTTAGTTTGATATTGGCTTTTATTTTGTCTTTACTAAGTTTAGGTATATGCCTTGTATCCCTGATCTTTCCAAGACTTTAAATAAGAATGGGTGTTGAATTTTGTCAAATGCTTTTCATCATCTAAGGAGATGATCATGTGGTTTTTCTCCTTCAGTTTGTTTATATTGTGGATTACATTGATGGATTTCAGTATATTGAACCACCCCTGCATGCCTGGGATGAAGCCTACTTGGTCATGGTGGATGATATCTTTTATGTGTTCTTTGATTCAGTTTGCAAGTGTTTTATTGAGTATTTTTGCATCAATGTTCATAAGAGAGATAGGTCGGAAGTTCTCTTTGTTTTGTTGGGTCTCTGTGTAGTTTAGGTATCAAGGTGACTGTGGCTTCATAGAATGAGCTTGGTAATGTTCCTTCTGTTTCGATTTTGTGGAGTAGTTTGAAGAGAATTAGAGTTAGTTCTTCTTTGAAGGTCTGGTAGAATTCTGTGCTGAAACCATCTGGCCCTGAGCTTTTTTTGGAAGGGAGACCCTGGATGACTACATGTATTTCCTTGGGGGATATAGGACTATTTAATCTACTTACCTAATCTTAATTTAATTTTGGTAAATGGAGTCTATGAAGAAAATTGTCCATTTCATTTAGATTTTCAAATATTGTGTCATATAGGTTTTTGTAGTAAGACCTAATGATTGTTTGGATTTCCTCAGTGTCTGTCATTATATCCCCTTTTTCATTTCTGATTTTGCTGATTTGGATAGTTCACTTAAATTCTTTCAATGAATGAAGCCAGAGTCTCAATATGTCTTAGTGGGCAAAACTTCCTTCTGTTTGTAAATTTATTTGACTGTTAAGCTAATATAAGAAAACATTACCCCCCAAAAGATGAGCTCAAGGAAATAAGGACTTGATATTCAGTCTTTAAAAGTGCAAGTCATTTCACTTGTGAAAATGTAGCTAAGTGTTAAGTGAATAAACCAGACCCAGCAATGCACACACTGCATGATGGAATTGAGAAAGGAGCCCAGCTTGTAGGAACAGTGCACCAAATAGTGTTACCGAGGAGCAGGGATTGGGAAATGTCGATTAAAACATATGAAACTTCAGCTAAGTAGCAGAAATAAGTTGGGTAGATTTATTGCAAAACATGGTGGTTGTGTTTAATAGCTATGCATTATATATTTGAAAATTGACAAGAGAGCAGCTTGTCAGGGTGAGGTAATGCATACACTCATTAGCTGGAATTACTCATTTCAGAATGCATACACATGTACACCATAAATAAATACATTCTATTAATTTGAAAAGGAAAAGAAACAGGAAATAGATTAATGCCCAGTCTCCACATTTATTTGAATTTACCATTAGGGCTCAGGGAAAGCTGGTGATTAACACTTAAGTATTATTCACTTTCAGAATCACTTATTCAAAACCCATCTTTTCAGATTGAGCAGTTTAACGCAGAAGAGGAGGCATTTGGATGGCTCCCATCAATATATCCTCAACGTAAAAAAATCCAAGATGGTTTGAACCCTTATCTCCGTCTGTATGAAACTGCCGTGGAGTTTAGTAACAAATACAGAGGGTGGACAGAGGGACCATATCACAAGGTGAACCCGGACCAAGTGGAAGTGGATGTTGGGAATTACTGGAGAGGACTCTATAAGCTGGAGAAGACCTTCCACGATTCTCCAAATGCACTGGCAATAACAAAGAAAGTAAGAGCGAGGGTGGAAGAGTTCAAAGAGTACATTCCCCTCATCCAGGTGATCTGTAACCCCGGCTTGCGCCCCAGGCACTGGGAGGCCATGTCCAATATCGTTGGCTTCCCCATGCAGCCGTCCGATGACTCCACAGTCTTCTCTTTCATAGACATGAGTCTGGAGCCCTATTTAGACAAATTTGAAAGCATTAGCGAATCAGCTAGCAAAGAATATTCTCTTGAGAAGTCCATGGAGAAGATGATGGCCGAATGGGATGCAATGGAATTTGTCATTCATCCTTACAGAGAGAGTGGGACATATATTTTGTCATCGGTCGATGAAATCCAAATGTTGCTGGATGACCATATTGTCAAAACACAAACTATGCGAGGATCTCCTTTCATCAAGCCTTATGAAAAGCAGATGAGGTAAAATAATATGTAATGCTTAGACTGTGCTACCCAACCACCGTGCATTCTACGTAAAGTTCTTCTGGGGGTTGATTATGCATTTTTCACTTCAGATTTTTCAATTTATTATTTCAGTTCTAGGTGTGTGTGTGTGTATGTGTGTGTGTGTGTGTGTGTGTGTGTGTGTGTGTGATGTGCACATGTCTAGGTATCTGTGAAGGCCAGAAACGGATGCAGCATACTGTGGAGTTCATTATAAGGAATGGGTAGCCTTCGTTAGTTTTGCAAGAGTCTGGGTCCTTTGGCTGTTATGACAAAGGCTTCAGACAACATTCAGAGGCTCATTTTTATTGGCAGCAATCTGATCTTGGGTTTTGTTTTTTAAACTCTAAGAAAAAATTTTATGACCGAACATAGTTTAAGAACAGTAAAGCATAAAACTGAAGATAGTAATGTCCTTTCCCATATTTGGAAAATGGATTGTCAGAGACAATCCCTGAACTTCTTTTGTAGTTCTGACTTCTCTGCATGGTAGCTGGCAAATGACCGGAAAACTGGTTTTATTTAGAAGTTCTTAAAATAAGGCAGCTAAATAAATTGAGTTCTTCCTCTGTTCACTATTTTTGTTTTTGTTTATAATGTATATTAAACAGTCTATATTTTACCTTAAGAAACAGACCACCAAATCAGATTGCTGTCTTCAGTGTGCACTTAACTGGCAGGGGAAGCCGACTTGGTGGTTTCTTCTCTGGTTACCCCGCCCCCAAGAGATGATCAGAAACTCCCCTGTGGGTTTCCTCCTCCCCTGACATTGGCTGTTCTTGATCCAGGCTCTACAGAGAGCACAAGGTCTAGCTAGATTCTTTTTGGAAGGACTGGGCATAATACTACTAGCTAGTGGGATTGTTCTGCATCATAATGATATTTAGAGAAAAGAAAAAAAAATCCCAAGAAAGAAGAGGTATTTCTAACTCTTTGCAAAACAGCTACCCAATTCACCAATAAACAGCGGGGAAAAAAAATGAAAAGACATTTGAAGCACCTACTTACACTTTTTAAAGTCTTAACAACTGAAAATTACAAATCATTTCTTGTAAATGGATAAGACATTAATATACCAACAAAGCTATCTCCGTCCAAGCTTCATTGGTTAATAAAACACTGTTCCTTATGTCGTGGTTTCTTTGCTAGCAGAACAGTGACAGCTGTGGGCTCGAGGCTCCGCTTGTCCTTTGCTAGCTGGGAGAAGTTCACCTGCCCCTTAACCCGGGCTCCCCCGCCCCCACTGGTTAAGTGAATGTTGTGCCCAGGGTTGTTGCAAAGATGGTTGAAAATGCAGAAAGATTCTAAAACTACAATTATACAACTGTTAATTTTGTAGTAATTATGATGTTTATACACAAAGGAACTTTAGTCATTAAGTTTTCTGTATGTGGAGATGAACCTATAGTATATTGTAATTTAAATACCGCCTCTTCCTCACCTGTGCCACATTGTATTCGGGGGAATGTGAATTTTGCGAATGCAAGCTCTATCTTAGTTATTAGTTATAAGCCTGAATGCCAACGTGATTATTCTTAAAACAGGCTTTATTGAAAAAAAAAAAAAAGTTCTAGTGATTTACCTTTGAGCATAACCGGAGAAGCAGAACTTAGCCTAACAGTGTCGCATGTGGGGTGGCAGGCCAGCTGTGGGCTTGCACACTGCTGCCTGAAATGCCGTCGGGCGTGCTGAGGGCCTCTGTTCTTACTCCTCAGGGAATGGGAAGGCAAGCTGCTGCTCCTGCAGGAGATCCTCGATGAGTGGCTCAAGGTCCAAGCCACCTGGCTCTATCTGGAGCCCATTTTCAGCTCTCCCGACATCATGTCTCAAATGCCAGAGGAAAGCCGGCGATTTACAAATGTGGATAAAACATGGAGAGATGTGATGAAAACTGTTATACAAGTAGGTAAAAACCTCGAAGACTGTGATTATGTAGTAAAAATGATGTGACTTTTGTTTAAATAATTCTGCATAAGTTTTTACTGTTTCCAATAAGCCACTGCTCCTCCCCCACACATTCTCTTTTCAGTTGGTTTAGAATTCCAAGAGAAAATAATGTGAAAAATCAAAAATGGTCATTTTGTTCTGATTCCTCTTGAAGGCTGGAGCTGCCCTGAGTTTACTCAGTGACCTTCGTTTGTTGGCATGGTTTTACCAGGGTCTCTGCTTGGAAGCCAGCACCCTGTCTGGATGCTGTTTCTATCATGGCTCTGTCTCCACACTGTGGCCACACTGCCCTTGAAATTCACAGTGACAGGAAACAACCTACAAGCATGCCTGCTGCTCAGTTAGGAGTGTCTCTCCTAGAGAGCTTAAAAAAATTCTAGAAGTCTATTCAGAGTCTAAAATTTCGAACAAAATGCAATAAAGTTATGAAACACATAGATCTTAGAAAGGCAAACTTGAGCCATGGAGGAATCTAACAAAGCCTGGTCACATTAAAGAACATCACACACAAAGTTCAGTTTGGAAGTGCTGGTTATATTACCACATGAGCACACCCTTCTTTAAGCTTTAAAATTAATCACAATATAATTAATCCCACACTTAGCAGAAGTATTAGTGAGTTACTGTGTAAAACTGAATCATTTCTAGTGTAGCTCACAAATAAAATCTGTCATATATAGTTCCCTTACCACAATGCGAAGCTCTTATAATGTATGTTAATTTCATTAAGATCTGGGCATGGAGGTGCATGCCTTTTATCCCATCACTCAGGAGGCAGAGGCAGGTGAATCTCTGAGTTCAAGGCCAGCCTGTACTACAGAGTGAGTTCCAGCCAGCCAGGGCTACACAGAGAAAACCTGTCTCAAAAAACAAATAAACAAACAAATAAATAATATAAACAGTTTGAGTGGAATTTTTGTTGTTTCTCCCAAATGTAGATGCTTATATTCATCTCATTGATATATGTGTACACACACATACACACATATCTGTCTCTCTGTCTATCTATCTATCTATCTATCTATCTATCTATCTATCTATCTATCT